ACTAAATCGATTTCATTTGTTTCCCAAACCTTATCACTTCGCTTGATTATTCAAAATGAAGTTCCCTGTGAAATCGTTAAAGAAAAGTTCAACTGTATTCGCGTATGTCTACTTGCCAGCCTGTTTATATCTATATACTATGTATCTGTAGCTTATATTCGTCAACAATAACAGAGTGAGATCGGTCGTGTCATGCGGCATGCCATTAAGGCATTAACTATGGCTGCCTTTGCTGTCTGCTACTTTGGATTGCAGTTGTATTTCATAGTTGGTCACATAATAATACAATTTGCCATAAGAAAGTTCTCTGCATTCAATTGAGATTGACAATGATTTAATTAAATTTGTAGTCTTCGTGCGACAATGCGCAAAATGTGACCCCAATTTCCCGAAATTTTCATTTGTTGTGCACGTGTTTTCATTTAAAATATGTTGACAACTTTTGGTATTTATTTTATAATATGAACTGAAATCACAGCGAATGTTACTCAATTAATTTTTGCACTTTATGACCATGCTTGGGAATTAAAATAAACTTGGTAAATGAATTGAGCTGTTTTGCCAAATAAATATTTAAACATATAGTTTATGGCCGGATGCACGTATTGCGATGATCCGCTTATTTAAAACTAAAAGTACGTGGCTAATAAATTGATATATTAAAGTATATTTCATGGCCTTTCGTGTAAGGGCTCTTCAATGGGGGAGTGCGAAAAATCCAATTGTTGATAAAACATTAACAGCTCTGGAAACAACAACAACAAATTGAGCGTGATTTATGGGGCGGCAGTAATAACAACAACCCACACTTTCTCCTTTCCGACCGCACGCCATTCAAATAACTGTGATAAGCCTTGAATATGGAACTTCAACGTCTCACACCAGACGGCTTTACGTATTTTGTTTGTCCACTGATAAGGTGAGCAACCAAGCTGGTAACAAAGCCCGTTGGAAGGCATTCGTGGGCAGGCCGAGAAACTTTGTAAAGCCAGTGGCCAGGCGAATATTGGCTTTCCAGCTGATTGGCAAAGAGGCAAAGTTGCTTGGCTAAGATAAGAATCGTGCACACGGACCCATTCATAACATATCATTAATTTAAGTCTATTTATAGCTAAGGTGAATGAATAGAAATAGTAGAAGCAAGCCACTTCTTACGTTTTCGGAGATAGTTTCAAAAATTGCTCGGAAACTATTTATATTATGTAGCACTACCTATTTTTTATGATTTGATGTTTTTTGATTACAAATGTGAATCGACCTTTTCTTAAAAAGTACAGGAACCCAGATATTCGCACAGTTCCCAGTATTTACGTTTTTCTTTTAGTGCGGACCCTAATTTAGGGCTAATTAGTGAAGTAATTAGCACCATACGTGTAAGTATTCACTAAGCTTTCAATTGCTAGATTAGCAACCGAACGAGCCTTTTCCAGTTTTCGTTTTGAATAATAATGACCTGTTTTTGTTTTTCTTGTTTGTTTTTATACGCTATAACCGAAGGGTATATTAGTTTTGTGCTAAGTTAATAACAGGTATAGGTATCTCTGCACTTCTCTCTTGGATTATTTTATTTTGTGGCAGATACAACACCCTCTATTATAAATCATTACTTAAGAAAATATTTGAAATAGTATTTCTTACTAGTTTTCAAAACCTTTGCGAGAAATTTTATGATGAAATAAATAATCACTTTTTTAGATTCTTTTGAAAAACAAGAGAATTACTTTAAAAAAAAATTTCCATTTTTATTTCGAAATGATCGACATTATCGCAAAGCTTTTTAAAATATATGGTTTCCGATTTCTTAATTTATCTATTTCAGTTTTCAAAATTATGTATAAAAGTAATGTAAATGTCGATACTTGTATTTAAAAATTAAGAGGTATTCAATATTTTGTTCGTTTGTATACTTTATAACGAAGAAATTAAACATATACTTGTATGTTCATATGCTCACCTATTCCCTTATCTATCTAATTTTGTATTCCCAACTATCAACTTATGTACATATCTATATGAATAATCTCAGTTTTGGAAGTCATAAAAGTTATGAGTATATACAAGAGTTATAGATTTCTCAAACGATAGTAAAGGAAACTCCCAGCTTCATTTACAATTTGTGGACTTGTAGACTCGCAAAGCCATTTGAGCGTTGCGATAAAGATTAAAGTATGAACTACCAATTAAGTAATATGCGAGTATGTATTTGATCAATATTTATGTTGGAGTTCCATTTCATGTACACATCGAATCTATCAACTGTTTGGGGCTTCTTTAAATGTATGCACTTTGTTATTAATACTTTGTTGGCCATTCATTGTCATTTTTGCGCAGTTTTAGTTGGTGACCCAATTTTTCTTTTGGTTTTGTTTACGCTGTGATTTTTGAACACGTACTGAGCACGTGTTTCTCTCTTGCTCGCCAATCGCTGACGCTCGAGCCATTTAATGGGTTATACGTAGTATGAGTGTAGGTAGTCTAATAAAAATTTAATGCTATTTTTATTAAAGTTTGTTGCAAAACTAAAAATAAATTACACATTCCTTCAAATCGAGCGTTTGGCGCGCGTTTTAAAACGCCAGCGACTTTGCTATGAACATTTTTCAAAACTAGTTTACTTTTAAATGAATAGAATTTGGAGTGAAAGTATGACTTTGAAAATATTTATAAGCAAAAGATAAACAAACCTGAAAAATGCCAACTAGAATTTCAAGTTAAAACGTTTGACTGTGGCCAGCAATTATCAACCAGTTGTGTTTTATTTGCATATTTCGAAAATAAATGTAAATATGTTGAATAACTGAAATATAAATGTAAACAAGAAAACACTTGATTTCAGTTGGGAAAAACATATGAAAGTATTGAGTTCTCGGGTAGATGATGATGACAATCATTTATAGGCTGTACGTGTATATGCAATGGAGACGCTTCGGAGATAACCAATGACATCGCTCACAATGTACTCGTAATTGCCATTATTAAGCGCATAATGAGACACAGTTCGACCTTGAAATATGACACTTTCATTAAATTAAAAAAAATTATTCTGATTGATTAAAGCAAGAAATTCAAGAGTGTAGAACCATTCCACTTAAAATTAGAAAGGCAAATTTTTGAAGAGATCCTCCAATATTGTAGGCGTTAAAAAAATTACGAATGATTAATAAGAAAAACACTAGTTAAATAATGTTGATAAGATGTACAAATATAGCAGTAATGATTCCATAGGGATATGGAATTATCATATAGTACTTTTGCAATAATATTTCAATAACTCTTTAGCTTTCATCTCAAAAACCAAAATGAACGCTAATAAGATCTAAATATATGCATATTTAAAGCGCAGTCAATTTGTTAAATTTGTGATGAGGTATAAATTTTCCACTCGTATATTTAGGGCAAACAAAATGCGCGAAATCTCAGGATAGATAGATATATATGTATATTATCAAATTAATATTAACCAATTTCAAAAAATATATACATATTTATATAGCCTTCTCCAGGCCGTCGAACTCAAGTGTCTTTTACTACTGCGCAACAATTCAGGTCCCTGAACTTTGAACTTTTCTTTAAATGCACTGAAAGAAATACACATTACCCCTTAAATGCCTCTTTTATGTAAAATGTGAAAATCATTAAGTAACATAAGTGTTAAAAACTTGTGCAATTTTTTATTTTAAAACATTTAAGCTGATTACAAAATTGCTCGTAAATATTTGCCTATATAAGATAAGATACGAAATATTTATTCCGCGTTAAATTTGTTATCCGATTATACCTCTTATAGTATTTACTCTATATTCGGATATTATGATCTTCTACATCTTACTATATAAGATAATAAGCCCTTTGTTTCATTTTCAGCTGTAAGTGTTATTTTCTGTTGTTATTATATGCCCCATTGAATAGGAGAAGCGCCACGGCTACTAATGAATAGCTTTTAAGTATTGCTATAATAAAATCACATATAGGCCATAAAAAAACAAAATACATCATTGTGAAAACTGATTTGATGTTCTGCCAGCAACAGAAACAAAAACACATCAACAACAATAAATATATCAACAAAAGAAACCGCCGTTGTCAACATTGCTGCAACACATGAATGCATGTGGGAGAAGAGAGAGAAGCAGTGAGCGTGTGGGCAGCTCGTCAGTGTCAACAGCGAGGTGACAGAGAGTAAAGGAGAGCGGCAGATAACAGCAGGTGTTAACATATATTTGAGTAAGAGTGTGCAGCAAGTGCATGGGAACGAGACAACCCAGTAGAATTTAGTGAGAAGTTTTTTATAGTTCGATAATAGCAAGAGTGAAACGATAGAGCAGTGCCGGCCCCACTTTTAAGTACTCTCTTTGAAAAATAAACAGATTTGTTTTTTCAGTAACATTGTTATACATACTGATAAATGAAAATTAATTGAGTACTATTAATCATTGAGTTTGTGTCTATGCTAATCTGATTAAAACGGACTTAAACAAATAGAGCAAAACAATTAGAGTGTAGGGAATATGGTATAAAAATGGAGTTATAGCGGAGGAGTAGGAGTATTTTCCTTTCTCGGACTTATTAGAACAAGGTTTACCAGGTTGTTATACTTTCCGAATACAGGGTGTATATTGCTTTATCACTAGTTTATGGAAGTCAGTAATTTGATCTTTTGTTCTTTTTTTTTTTTTTGGGAGAGAGCAGCGCTTAAAAAAATGCTGCATTTGGGGAATGCTGGTTCGTAAAGCATGCAACCAAAATTCTACTGGGAAGCTGCACACACAAAGTCAAGAACTGATAAGCGAGCAAAAAAAAAATAAACTGTAATTAATGCTTAAATACAAGAACAAAATAAACACACATGTTGACACTGAGACCTTTTACATATGTACATATGTATGTACATGTGTCTGTATGTATAATAGAGAGTACACTTTGGCACGCTGACACACATTAGTAACAGAATTGTTTTACAGCAAAACAAAATACAATGCAACTGTTAGCATTTTATTTACCTGCGTGTTGTTGTTGTGAAACATTTACCGCTCGTTCTTTTTGCGTTCCTTTCTTTCTCGTTGAAAACTCACTATTTACTTAAAAACAACTAATAAAAATTACGCATTTTGTTTTTATTATTTTTACACAGCAATTGGCACTGCACTTTGGCCATTCACTTTAACAACATTCCGAGTTGCTTCTTATCTTGTATCAGACATTTAAAGAAATTTAAAACAATTGCGTAGAATACATGTGCTTTGTTATGCTATTGGCATGTGTGTGTTTGTGCAAATTAAGCGTCCGCGCTTCTGGCAGCTGTACTGACAGCGCGCCCGTCCGTCTCGCTTGACGGCTGCAATGTAACTGTGTGTATTGCGTCGAGTTTCCGCGCTCAAATATGCCACAGAGTGCCCCCACCACGTCCCCCACCCATAAACAATGAGCATCCACCAACAACAACACCAGCAGCTGCTTTTGCGTTTTCTTTTCGTCTGTTTGCTTGGAATTCTGTGGAGGACGCATCAAAACAACAACAAGGGCAATATTTATTTCATTATGTTTTCTTATATGAGCCGGTATTTATGTTGGATTGCTTTATATTCTGTTGATTCACTTCACGTTTTCGCTCACGTTTTAAAATTGTGAGATAAACTGGTTTATTGATAAGAAAGCTTGAAGGATATTCAAGTGATTTGTTTTTGGACATGCGCATGAGTAGAGCACGCATACATACAGACTCTTGCTTTATGTACTTATTTATATGCTTGGGTATATACACGAGTATATAGTACTTATGTACTTAAGAGATTTGTGTGTTTGCACATCTGTTGGCGCTGCTTGGCTTGGCTGACGTAATTTCTATGCGCACTTGCCGCATGTTGCACACTTTTATGAATGAAAGCTGAAAGCGGCAACAATTGCAAAAACAACTACAAGAAATGCAGCAGGCCGAGATACACATGGTCTGGGAAATGTGGCTAAAGAAAACGAGTTTCTAACAGTGATAGAGAGAGAAATAACATTTCGCGGCTTTCAACAGTTAACAGCAATGTTTCTTTTTTAATTGCTTAGCCGCATAACTTTCGGAAGCGTCACTTTTCTGAGCAACAGAGAGCACTCAGCCAAATAGGAAGATTGATAAGCAACTGGTGTTGTGCTATCTATCTATACAGACAATATTGGTGTTGGCACAAGTGAGGAATATTGCATCAGTTTGTTACTAAAACAAATATAGAATTCAAGGTTTAATATTCTAGTCTGAGTTGCACTTCCATAAAATTTGACAGTCATATTTTGAAAGACAGCTCTGCGTCGAAGCGTTGATTTACATATACATTTATACATACACAAATGCCCATTTAAAAATAAATAAATTAAAAATTTAATAAAAAAATATTTAATTCAAAACTAAACCACCATTAATGTTTTACACAGCTCGACTACTTGTTGCTGTGGTTGCTTAAGCTAAAGCACTGCAGGTGGCGCTAGTACATTGGTGCATGTCTTTGCTATAGCTATAATCCATCTAGCGGATTTAAAATAAATGGGTGAAAGAAATGACAAATTGCGGGGCTGAATAGAAATTGTTGACTAAAAGCCTATAGGTTTTAGCTTAGAAACATTACTATCATTATTCCAGGTAAGGTTAATATTTTTGTAAAATTCTTATGAAGTATCAGATAATGATAGATTCAATTAAATGTAAGGTTGAGTCTCAGTTTCTAAGTTGGGAGCTAGTTTTAAAAGTATCGTTAGTTCTTGGTTTTTGAAAATGTTTTTTTTTTTGATAATTTGGACACTTGTTAGTTCAGGCAACGATTTACAAACAAATTCAAACAGCAACTAAGGGCATCACAAATAGTTGTATACTTAGGTCAATGAATACTAATACTAGCGATCGATAGTAATATTTGTCTTTCAGGTTGATACTTTTAGGAATCTTTTAATTAATTAGCTATTCAGTTGGAACTGGAACTGGGAACGGGAACAATTAGCAAAGATATTGTTAAGATACAAATTCATCTTACCCTTTTCAGTAAAATTTCATCGAAACTGGCACGGGAATGGGACTGTCTGATATTGAAATTTTGTAGACCTAATTTAAGTTGTTAACACAAATTTCTGTATTTCTGGTTTGTAGTTTGCTATATAAGTCGATAAACTCCTCAAGCTCAGATTCACTCTTTTTGCAAGCTTAAGAACTATATATAGATTCTACTATTTCAAGAACCCCAAATGTATTTATAGATCCATAACATTTTCTGTTAAAAATATTTGACATCCTTTCATCCGACATCCTTTTAAATCAATTTTTCAAACAAATTTTGAGTGGAAAAATAAAAAGTGAATAGCACTTGTTATATTATATTTTAAGATGAAATTGAAAATCACATTTGAGAAATCTTTCCCAATTTTATGCTTGCGAGCTGCACAGAATGTGAGAAAAATTGATGGGATTATGTTCGTTATTGTACAACTACGTACTATTAGCGACACGTTTTCAAGTCTTAAATACAACAAATTTTGTTTACTAGCAACAAATATTATGAGGACCCTTCGGTCGCCAAAACAAAATCAAATCAAATCAAAACAAAGCATTTATCACCTCGATTTCCAAATGAATGTCACTCGAATAGAAAGCCAAGAGGAAAGCACGAAAAAGTGGAATAGGAATGAAGCTGAGGCAGCGAGAGGAAAACCACGAGCATAAGACAAAAGATTTACAATATCATTCGAAAAGATTTAGAGGTGATTTCCAAAGATATATATTTTGTTTGAGTAGCGATAAATAAACAAATTATATACGTATGTGTATTTAAGGGGAGCAGAGCGGAGCTATTTTTGTTTTTTTGCTCAATTTAACATTGTCGCACGCAAAGCCAAGAAAATAACAAAGAAAATTGGATGGAAATAATAGGCGAGCAACAAATACAAAAACCGAAAATCAGGGAAAAATAAATACGAAAATCAACAAACGAGGCAAGGTGCGCGCATTGGACCCGCTCCAGATGGGGTGGTGTGGGCGCTGCATCCATTAAAAATGTCACATTAACGAATTGCTTGGCTGGCCTTATTTATGTGCGTCTTCAAATTTCTCAATATCCCAGGCCCTATACAAGTATAGTACTTGGGCAGGTAGGCCCAGAATTTATTTGCATTTTTCCCGATAAATAAACTAGTGGCGCGAAGCGGCGACATTGGCGATAAGCCTTTGAAAAACATTCAATTCATTGAGTGACTACGAACTATGGAAACTATTTATTTGGAGGGGCGTGGCCAGCAGCGCTCAGCGTCCTGCTGAGCGCCAGAAACGCCGTCTAATGGCGGGCCGCGTTATAAATAGAAACCACTCGAGCACGCCTCGAGAGCGCTCGCAGGCAGCCACTCAAAACGCAGCAGTAGCTGCGAGATCCACACCAGATCATCATCGGCGCAACATATTGAAAATTTTGTCAACCAAATGTGTTGCGTTTGTTGCGGGCGTCGGTCGGTGTCGGTTGCTGTCTCAGTTCTACGTCACGCGCTCCCCGGTTCCCCCGATTTTTGTGCAGTGTAAAGTGAAACTCAAGCCAAGCCCCAAGTGAAAAGTGCAACTGCCAAGGGCAATTAGAAATTGCACCCATTTGAGAATCTCGTTAGATCTAAAATATTGAAAATAATGACAAAGTACAACAATAATCCTGGCGGCATGCTGCCCAACAACAACAACAACAGCATCATTAAGCAGGAGTACAACAACTATGCTCAGCATGACAACTACAACATGGTCCAATCGACGCACCAGCCCGCTCCCCACTACACTCATCCCTCGCACCAGACCCTCCAGCACTTCTTCAGTCGCTTCAATGCCGTCGGCGAAGGCGTCAACGCCAACGCCTGCAGCTACCAAAGCGGCCACAGTCCGACGAGCAACGACAAACTGCAGATGACGCCCTCGCCCATCTACACCACAGACTACGACGAGAACAGTCTCAGCTCCGAGGAGCACGTCCTGGCACCTTTGGTGTGTGCTTCCGCGCAGTCCTCGCGTCCCTGCCTCACGTGGGCCTGCAAGGCGTGCAAGAAGAAGAGCGTGACGGTCGATCGGCGAAAAGCGGCCACCATGCGGGAGAGGCGACGACTGCGAAAGGTGAGGGCAAGGGGAAGTACAAAGGGGAAACTGAAATGGTCCAACAATCGATTCTAAAAACTAGAATTTTCAACTCGCCCAATAGTTTGTTTTCTTGCCTTGCAATCCATTAGTGGATAAAACTGAATGAATAGAATGGAAGCTAAAAAGGATACTATAAATGATATTTTATATTGTATAATAATAATAATACTCATGAATAATACTCATGTTGGGAAACAGAGTATATTATTCTACACAGCATGTTATGTTCGATTCCGGAATATTGTCTGTCTATGTCATTAAAACAGTAGATTTTTAAGGCTCCGATAAATACTCGTATATAATTTCTTTTAACAATATCTATTGATAGCATCTGTTAGTTAAGATCTAAACAAAAGTATGCATTGTAATTCGTATCTTTCAGTTCAATTTAAATTTACAGAAGTTTATGTTATTTCTTGTAGGTTTGGTTTCATCCGACTACTATATAAGAAAGATAGGAGGTTTTTGATGCTTTAGAGCTGCTTGTGCACACGAAAAATTCCACCACAAAAGTAATTCATATTCTAGTAGTACCTTCTTTGTTTATGTATCTTCTTCGATATATGTCCTTCTCAGATACATACAACTTTTATTCAAACTACCCTTTAGATTAATGAAACCGAAAATTTAATTAAATCAATGAAAACAAGTTATACATTTAAAACCAAAATTATTACTTCTAAAATCACATTCATTAAAAATAGCAGGTTTGGATTTTTCAATAATCATATTCAAAGAGCTATAACATATCCGAAATAATACCTATAACAAGGTTTATTAAGGTTTAAAATGTTGTCTAAGTTTGTTTAAATCAAGATCTAAACCTTTCAAGTAGTGACATATTTGATGATTCGAATTAGTATTGATTTAACATTTAAGTTATTGCACCTTTTTTCTAGGGATCTAGCCCCAGGATTTTCTAAGCACAGCCTAATTCTTCTCGTTGTTGCTTAGCTTTTGAAGATACACATCTTTTTTACGTCAGTCGTTATGGACTTTCGATTTTTTTAGAACAGCCCAAGATACTGCCAACTAAGACATAGACTCAACCCTCCGAGTTCATAGCTATGCTGATATTACTTTTATTGGGACTGTAATTCTTTTTACGATCCATAGCTACATTCTTTTGGAAATAACACTAGAGTACGAAAAGGTTAATCAAAAGCTGCATTCTAAAGTAAGATTCTTTAAATTGCGTTGAATCTGCACTCCATAGCTATATTAAATAAAATATTTGTCATTGTGAGAGTAAAATGATATCTCTCAAAGAAAGGATAACTTCAATTTCCATAATGTTCCACAATGTTAGGGAAAAAGTGCTTGTTTTCTTTGAAGAATATACATTTCACTGTAGTGCTATTACATATATTTTTACAACAGCGCTGTAGATTGGCAAACAAATGAAGCTTACACGGGAGGCTAAGATATGTCCAGGATAACGAATATACCAACTTGCAAGTCAAGAGTCTTTGTTCATTATTCCCCCTTTTGAACAATGGTTCAATACGATTTTTTTTTTTGGCACTGGAGATCAGAATCTCGTAGTCAACAATATATATAATATGGTACTCATATATGAGCAGATCTTGCCAACAGTCCGTAAATATTGGTACAATAAGCTAAAATGATGATGCACGATGCGAGCATCGTTGTGTGGGCGAAAATGCATTAATGGTTCGAAAAAAGCTATAGAAGAATGACAAACGATCACAAGAAGATAAAAAGGCAGTCTAAATAATAGAGCTGATGCTTTTAATAGATCTATGGTTTCTCCAGAAAGAAATTGGAAAAAAAACAATAAACACACATTAAAATGATTTAATTAAGTTGTCTATATGAATGCTTTTTTAATAATTTATTCATATTTGTTTAAAACTTGTACCAGATTTACGTATTGGCAGTTATCAAATGCATACTTTTGGTTGATTTTAATACTTTTATTTAAGATGATTTGATCATTTTATGTAAAAAAGGTTATATGAAAACCATCAACCTTTCCACCAAACCAAACTACTTTTCTGGCTGTTAGTCCTGACCTGGATATCATTTGCTCACAAAATTCAATGAAATTAATGAAACAAAATAAATTTATTATAGTTTCATAGAACCTGGTCAAATTTCAATATGCAATACATAAATTTGTAGACTTGTTGCTAGATATGGACGAAAAGAAAAAAGACAATTAAAGACGGTTACATATAATTTAATTTTCGACCCTTCAGACCAAAGAGGGAAAGATAAGCAGAAGCGAATTGGCAGAATATTAGAGTTCCTCGTAACCCAGTCTGTCCAAAAGCTATCTATGTTTTTTCCGTATACATACTATATCTGAAAATTGATCCATAAAATTATCTAGAGCGTACACTCATTTCATGGGCGCTTTTCTAACACAAAGAAAGGGAGACCAGGAAAGATCGTTACATTATTACTAAGCAAGGAACTTAAGTTCGGTTCCAGAAGAGTAGGCAGCGTTAACCTAAACGAGCTCTACTGGGTTATAATAAACAAGACTAAAATTTTCTTTAAATTAAACAAATTTTTTGCACTGCAGAACGGAACTTGAATGGGCAGTCAAACAACTTTGTTGCCGCAGAAAAATTAACACCTCATGGGCATAAACGTCACTTCTACTAAAAGAAAATTAATGAGGCTTGTAAAAAAACCACCCAGCAAGTTAGGAAACCAGCCGTACAGCTGCTCCGAAACTTCACTGCGTGGTTGCATGGATTTGCCAAGAACACTAATATGAAAGCGAACTTTTACGAGTTACGCGACAAATCGTAAAAGCGATAGTGTTAAACATGTCACGCAAATGTCGCGGCCGTATTTATGACTGCAGCGAGAGATCTATAGCTAGCACTACACTAATAGCTATATCCAGATCAGCCTCGGTGGAGCCCCAGCCCCAGCCTCAGCCCTAGGCCTGCAGCCTGTCGGTAGCAGCCATTAAATTATGAAAGGAGGGCGCAACACTTTGGCAGTCATAAAATAAAACGAGGAAGCCCAAGAGAGCCGCGACAACAATTAAATTGTTTAAATTTTATGCACAATTTAATTTAAAATATGTTATATTAAAGAGCCACTTAGAGCTGAACATGCTTTTTATGACATGCCTAATGGGTTTCTATGATGATTTTTAATTGATGATGCGCAGCATTTTTCACATTTAATGTCTCTTCTTTCTAGGTTAACGAAGCATTCGAGGTGTTGAAGCGACGCACTTCATCGAATCCCAACCAGCGTTTGCCCAAAGTCGAAATATTGCGCAATGCCATCGAGTATATAGAGAGTCTCGAGGATTTACTGCAGGTAATACCAAAAGGCTGCAGACTACGGTCAAAAGGGCAAATAATTTGCACACAAATTTGTGCCATTCCACAAAGAAATGCCAATGAAGTGTTTTGCAGAAGCAAACTATATATTTTTGGATAGAGTTATAATTAATTTCAAGAGCGAGAGAGAGAGAGAGAGAGATAACATTCATGACTTAGTTGTGAAATTTAAAGGATTTTTTTATATTTTTATTTATTTATTTATTTGTTTGTTTATTAATTCCTAGTACGACAAGAAGATTTCTTATAAATTAATGTACTAGTTTTGTTTCTTTTGCTACGAATCTACATCGTTTAATGAGGATTTTCTCAGTCAACCTTTGTATGATCTTGAAAATTATACTTATAGTCTTTAGTATAACAATAATTCCAAGTACTATCAATTTCGTATTAGGACCGTAATGTTAGAATGATTTAGGCCATATTCAGGGCTGAATTAGAGCTTAGATGCACGCTACTTTGAAAACCGATTACTAAATCCTGTAACGGCTTTATCTATCTGCTTAAACGAATTACAGGCTATAAATTGTGGCCGAAGGCAAATTAAAAACAACAATTTTAAAATAGTGCTTAAAGGTTTATATTCTCGAAATGGTTAGCTTGACTCTAACTTTACAACTGAACTTATTCCAGTCCATTTACCATTCTATTTGTATAGACACCTTGGGTGGTAATGAAGCATTTCTATAGAATCAATAAATGTCTAAAGATCATTTCACACTTTAGTTGGTAATTTAAGCTTATGTTTAAATTAAGTTCCGGGGTACATTTATGACTGCGTTCTTTAAAGCAACTGATCTGCAGTTGGGTGTTCTTTCAATCTCGCATCTTACATTAATTTTGTCATTATTCACAAGAAACCTTTCGTTTAACGACTTGAAGCTTATCAACATTTTACTTTATCTTTCAACAATAATTGAGTTCCTAACCTAAGAGTATTTTATAAATAAAAACTTCTATGAATCAATCCAAATAAATGCTAATAATATCTAATTTAATATTTGTGGAGATGAAATACTTGTATTGTGTTTAATATCTTTTGGAATTGCCACCAAAGCTTGTTTAAGGGAGATTTATTGTGAAAATGTTATCTTAGATTTAAGATATATAGTATTTTATTTAAAACAAAATCCCAAAAAATCTTCATAATTTAAATATTTTTGTTCAACTCATTAGACAATGACTATTTAGAGTTATTGCTTTTATTTCTATTTCAATATTAATTTAATTTTTTCACTCAGATGAAATTAGTACACTGACATTGCTAGATCGTGGTAGATTTTTAGAACTTCCTTTTATCATTTTCTGTAGCTTATTTTCTAAAATGTGTGTGTCTTTTCTTTTCTTCTTTTAAAACAATATTTTTTATGTGGCTCTAGCATTTTGAAGTAATTGAAATAATTAAAATAAGGCGTAATAATATTATTTCAATAGCTTATTAAGATAGTGTATTATTGATAGAGATTGAAAATTGAAAATATTGAAACATATGAAAACATGAAACATGTGAAGAAAAGTTGAATACGAGTATTTATATATAATCTACCAAATTGCGGAATTTGTTGGACAGAATAATAACAACTAACCAGAAGCTCCCTATTTCAATATATTTTTAAACGCATCTTTTTAGTGGTGTTATTAATATTAGTATTATATTGTCAGCTACTATGGCAGAACACAAAATCGTTCATTATCGTTAAAAACATGAAGAGCTTACTTGTATGTAGTTATTGCTGATGTGATGGTCTTTCTATTGCAGGAATCGGCGCCCACTCGCGACAGTGACAATCTATCACAGAGTCTGAGCGGCAAGAGTTGCCCGCAAGATTATTTGGTAAGTAGTACTCGTATTGGGGAACTGGCGGGCACAGAGATATGAATTTGAACGCCAATTAATATTTGGGGAAGAAAGCGTTCCGCAATTATTTTCTCGTAAAAACCTCATGCATGAAAAACGTTTTCATACATTTTTCTTATGCGACGCGCACATTCATCAAAAATCTCGGGTCTGTCGTTCCTGGGCCGACAACACCAACATGAAAATAGAATATGCGCGTACAAGGTGCGGACTTAAGACTCGCGACGATATCGACAATATCTCTGGGTTCTCTGTAAGCCAAAATTTATGCCGTCGCTGACGTGCAACTTAATAAGCACAAGCAGCAGAGAATTGTCACAGAGATTCCGATTCCGATTCCACCCGCTACTGCTACTTACTGGGAAATTATGAATTATGGGGCAGGGATTCTCGAAAACATGCAAAAGCGCCTTGGAACAAGTCAGCCAGATGCATAGGCAGATACGCGTAAATTTCCAAGGCACAAAAGACCCGAAATTAATACAAAATAAATAGCTACACAATTTATGTTGGCCTCCATTCCCAGACGGTTGGCTAGGGGTTGGCATCGGCTCATCAGTGCACAGTGGTTGAATTTGTTGAGGTAAAGGTTAAAATATAAAGTTAAATGAATTCTTTTTTTGACAATATTGTCCGTGTTAAGTCAAGTTTTTGTACTTAATTGTACTTAATTGTTTGGCTACAATTGTGCTTATCTTTTTGTGCTTATCTTTTTGTGCTTTTCTTTAACCTGGACGAATTTTCGAAACAAAAGTTGAAAGCAGAGGTTAAATGAATCGTTCTTCATGGGCTCTTAAGTATTCTGATTGACCATATGGCTAGTGCTAAAAGCAATGCAATGCAATGCTTATCGATATATGATCGATATTTCCGATTGTCAAGCATTTCGTTATGATAATTTCTTGCGAGGCAAGATAATCTTTTCTACAATAGAATATATGAAATTGCGGAAAATAAATACATTTTTTTGCAGTTAGTCAAAGAATTGTTCACATGTCCTCTGTCAATTCTTGATAGGTCGATTGATTTGTGAGATAAATTGTGTAAGGCATGTTGTATTTGTAGATTACTATATCATATAAGTTTTTCCTTAAATATGGCGTAATATTTGCCTTCTCAGCCTGTGGCGACTGCTTTCTTAAAATGATTTTTATTCCGAAATACTTTATATCTTTAATCTGAAATATTTTGTTTTCAATTGTGTTGCTTGATTTTTTTTCCTCGGGTGAACTTTCCAAAGAAGATTTCCGAGTGCATCTACTTCGATGAACACGCCTATTTGGGGGAATTTTTTGAAGACACCCATGAGAGGGTAGAGTGGACTTTTGAACATAAATTGAATATTTCAACCCACTATGCGCTGGTGTGTGTGGTCGTCGTCGTTGTCGTTAGTGAAATGCAATAAATAAATGTTCTTTTTATGAATTTTTACCGAACTGGAGCCCCATCGGCAACCAGTAGAAGGAAAATTAGAAGAAGCAGCAGCGAACAGCCACCCAACTCAACTGCAGACTATAAACGAAAATCGTGTTGTAAATTAATTATAACAAATTCGTATGCTGCGTTGTTCAAATGGCGCGTAACACTACAAAATACCTTTTAGGCACATACGATATGCCCGGCCCGTGTTCTGTTTTCCGTGCGACAACTTGAGCTACTTTAGGTTTTTCTTCCCCCCCTTTTCCCCAAAGGGGGAGGGGGGGGGGAAGAGGCGGCAACGGATTTCTATGTATTTCATAATGCTCGCGAGTTCGGTTAAAAGGCAAAAGTGTCAGTTGACAAATTGCACAGGAAAAACATGACAAGATCGGCGACAGCGAACAACGAGAACTCTCTCTCTCTCTCTGCTTCCGTCGGGGCTTTGTCTTCCACAAGGTGTTGCAAGACTTGGTCTAACTGGCATGGGCACGTATCTGACAGCAGAACAAATTGTCAACAATTACGTGAGCATTTTTGCAATAGTTGACGGTTTATCTTTATGGCTATACTCCCCCCCCCACACCCCTTTCCCGCAGCGCAGCCTGTTGCCACACCGATGAATGATTTCCATGCAGTTTGTTTGAGTTTTTCACATTTTAATGTACAAATTTGTTAATTTACCATAAAACTTTGCATATTTCTATGCCTTTGGCAGACGCTTGGCTGCATTGCCTACCAATGGCAGATATTAATGCGAGCCCATAGCTTTATGCAGTTTATGTAGTTTGATTAAAAACTGGCGAAATGCCAGCCTGCAGACATTAAAATGCATTTGACGTTGACAATCCATCCATTGAGGGTTGCCTTTTCAGTTGATCCTCGCACTCGTAGTTGTACGTAGTTGTATCTGCATCTTTGAGACGCTTGGGGGGCTGGAGTTTTATTTTCGTGCAATGCGAACGAATATCGCGGCGGCAGAATTCAAATTATAAATAAATATACGATATTATAGCTTGAGTTTGTCTGAACAACTGAACAACAACTCCCTCATCACAGGTCACAATGCTGCTCACAATTTCATCTCTAACCCATTATGACTTACTCCTCCCCGGGGATCGTGAAAGATATTAAAAATGCTTGTAGCTGGCACTTGGGTTATTACTTGGTATGGAGGTGACTTCTGTAGGTCATTCGTGGGGAAACGGACCCCACGTTTCCAAAATGACTTTCCGTCTTGTTAGAAAAGATCTTGACATTTTCAGTTGCTCGATTTTACGGCTTGAGATTCTTTAGATTGAAGACATGTGGGGTACCTGCTCTGCAGACCGGGAATAAATGCAGTTAATACAAAAAGGTATATTTATTTATTTGAAATGTTTGAAGGAGCTGCTTAAAGTTACTCATAGGTTAAAATTCTCAAAGGATTTGGAATAGATTTATACCACAAGCTTATACCGCCCATCTCTCTTAATGCTTTCCAAACTCAGGAACGACAACTTTTGAGTCTCAGAGAGAAATTAACTTATTTTTAAATACAACATAAAACTTTCATCAAAATACTTGATACATCTACTTTTGTGAATGTAATTTAGCAAGAATATATGTCTTTTGCTGGATTTCTTATTTTAGGAAAATAATTAACTTCAAATTTTGAATTACGCTTTAACATTATTATCAATAAGGAAAATTTTGAAATTGTTTTATTTTTTATTCTTTATTATTTTTTAAGATCTGTTCTAAAGAGGACAATTATTAAATTATATGGTAGCAATGGATTTGTGCATTCTGAAATTGAAATTATTTATATTTCCAAGCTATTGAAAACTTGTTTTGAGTGCACTTTATAATTTGTTTGTATTGAAACTATTTAGCATTTTTTAGATTTAAATAAAATAAGTAAAGCCACTTCAAATCAATCATTACCAAGACAATGACTGTGATAACGCTTTTGAGGCCTAATCAGGATTTAGTTAAACAGTTTTAAAAAAGACCTTGGACCGCATATTATATTGTTAGAGGCATTCAAGTGCTGCTATATTTCTATTCAAAGCTTGCATTTTTAATTGCCTTTTCAACTTTTGCACTGAGTCCATAATCGTTTGCAATCATTTTAATGGCACTCCCATAATAGACCTCCTTATCACATCGTAAAGGTAAACGAGACATCTGGCCGAAATGTTTGTTCTACAGACATACTTACAAACACACACACGTACTTATAACTATCTATATATATATTGTTGGCCACTTATAAATTTATCAAAGAATACGCTGATATCAATGGACAAGTACTTTGTAATCAAAGTGTTCAAACCTGCCAATAAATTTATTGAGGGAGCACATGAGTACCCCACATTTTTAATGATTCACGATGTACCCAAGCAAGTGAATAATTATATACATACTTGTATTTACATATGTGACAACGTACTTCGCTTTCGATATTATAAATAGTACATTTTTTATTGAAAATTGTTTCTTTTCGCCTGATATTTTTCGGGAAAAAGGGGGAACGCCCTATATTAACGGCTGATCTATCTTCAAAGAAGAAAATTGCAATTTTCATTTTAGCAAAAGTAATAGCAGGAATTGATCTTATGTGGTTATTTTTATTGGAATGCTCTACTTACACTATTAACTGACAAACTCCTGATCAATTTCTACCCTGAGTTTTGAGTTGCGTAATACATCGGAAGTTATAGTTTCTTTACGTATTTTTTTCATAATGTAGACCTATTTTGTATTATTATTATTATTTTTAATTATGTAGAAAAAGTTCAAAAGTATTAATACTGAACTTAATTTGTTTAAATAAAGATGAAGAGCTTGATTAAGCGACTTCATAGATTTCGGTTGAAGAGATGGAAAAGGTCGATCTTTAATGAAACATTATCGTATTCAGCTCTACTGAAATGTATGTTATGTAATCACGTTTCACAGAAGTATGTACATTGTGAGGGATATTTATGTTTACCAGACGACGACTTGTTTATGAAGATATCAAGCGCGCTGTCTTTATATTTATTAAGCAATTCATGCATCATATCCGTTGCATTTACAAGTCAGCACAACACAAAGCTTCCAAGAAATAAAATGTAAAAAAAGGATCCAGAAATGTGGCTCAAAATCTCTTGCAAGTGATAAGTGGAATTTCATTCATATGCGATATTAACACATGATTTACATAAAAATACACGCAACACATACGCTTACGTATATGTATGTATATAGGTATGTACTCGGTGTCTGGATGGTGCGCAGTCCGCCAGTGGCTGCAGAGGCGGGAATGGGAGAAAAATGTTTATATATTGAGCGCACGCTGTCACTAAACGCTCGGAAAATGATAAATTGCTTTATAAAAGTGCAGGGCGAGCATTTGTTGTTGTGGAGGGGCGAGTGTATGTGTGCGTGTGTTTGTGTGTGTGTTGTTCTTATGTCACTTACTAAAAATAAGCATATCACACTCTAGTCCCATTTGCGACCGCGATCCTTGCGCCGACTGCAGGCGCAGACGCGGCGACGGCGACGGCAACGGCAACGGCAACGGCAACAGAAACAACACCAACAACAAGGCTACAAAGCAGCTAAATCTTAGCGGCTCATTTGGCTTACGCACTAAGCAGTTTTCATCAGAAACTCTGGCAAAATGTCTAACCCACCCAGAAGTGGCAATTATAATTTGCTTAGCGTAAGCGTTAAAGCGATTTTTCTAATGAATTATATGTGCGAGTATCTGCAAGAAATCTGTGCTCTCTCTCTCGTGTCGTCTGCGTATGCACAAATATTGCAGAAAATGCATTTAATTGCTAATAAGTGTGGCATCAGGCAGACAATGCGTATTGTTTTGCATTTGTATCTGTATCTATAGCTGCATCTGTAGCTGCATCTTTGCATTGTATCTGCTGGCTGTTGTCGCCGCCGCCGGGGTTCAATGCATTTTAATTGGCTTGCCCCAGCAACATTGTTACTATACGAGCACTACTTCGGGCCACATTTTGCACCCCAAGTGCAAGCAAGCACATTATTTTTGTCGTAATCTCGTCATTAGACGGCTTTTCGTATCGCATTTAGACGTGAAAATGACGCGCCAGCTATTTGGACGTTGTCATCTTTCCCGCCTTGCTCGCTGTCTCTCTAGCTTGCATATTTTCTAATTTATTGCTCAGCTAATTTAACTCGAGCGTAGTCGCTAAATTTATCCAATTTATCTTATAGATGAATATTTCCTCTCTTCTACATGTATTCGCAGAGCTCATATGCCGGAGCGTACTTGGAGGACAAGCTCAATTTCTACAACAAACATATGGAAAAATATGGACCGTTCTCAGGCAAGTAAAAACTTTTCCAGAACTATACTATACCATACATTTATTTGGGGCTGAGAGGCCTTTAGAAAGAATGAATTCACATTTCATAAATGACTTAAAAGTAATCCCACTGGAAGGGGCGGTGTTTTTGAAACTTTTAACCTATCGTATAATTTTCTTATAATATTAACATCTAATTATAGCATACAAGTATGCTTGTTATTTACAATAAATGTAAGCCGAAAACGTTTAACTCTGTCATAAGTAGGAGGAATATATCTTGCCCAAACACATGATTTCGATTTCAATGATTTCGAAGATTGTAAAACTTTTTCTACATATATTGCTTCTCAGAAATCGTTGACATATTTTATGTTAAAAATAAATAAAAGCACTTATGCAAAAACAGCTTCGTAAAGTTGCAATATTTGGATTCTATCGATTTTTTAAAAATAATTTCTAATTTATATAGCAAAGTTATAAAAAAGTTTCGGCAAAAACGAGCAAGGAAAGAAATGTTAGCATCGAAGTGTTTTGCCTCTTTGATAGTTCCAAAAAAAAAAAAAAAAAAATTAACTCTTTGAAATAATACAGTTATTGTTTTGTATACTCTTCAATGAAAATTGTAAGGGTATATGGTAAAAAAATATAATACAAGTAAGATGTTTTGCTGTGAGACAATGGGAAGGCTAGATTTGTTTAGCGTAGAACTTTAAATTCTGGTATGGCAAGTTATTGTTCTTAATAAATATGTATATAGAAAGTTTATGCATTGACTACAAAAGTCTTTGGCTATATATGTTGTGAAAGCAATATTCGGAGACCTTAGAGTATTACTACATGTAAAAAAAATAAACGTAAAAAGTCGTTGTCGGAATATAAATTGTAAATGCTTTCAGGTCGCTTGTAATTTTCGGTCAGCCAAGTTAAAGTAATTGTATTATGAAATTTGTTATTATTATCGGTCTATATTTTATATAGCTTCACAGAGATAAGCCGAACTTTATTTTGTGTGTCAAAAAGGCTTTCAAAAAGTGGCTCAAAAAATTCAAATCAAATCAAGTCGCTTGTAATTTTTGGTCCGACAAGTTATGAAAATTGCAATTATTATAGGTCTATGTTTGATATAGCTTCACAGAGATAAGTCGGACTTTATTTTGTGTGTCAAAAAGGCATTTAAAAAGTGGCTCAAAAAATTCAAATCAAATCAAGTCGCTTGTAATTTTTGGTCAGACAAGTTAAAATAATTTTGTTATGAAAATTGCAATTATTATCGGTTTATATTTTATATAGCTTCATAGAGATAAGTCGGACTTTATTTTGTGTGTCAAAAAGGCTTTCAAAAAGTGGCTCAAAAAATTCAAATCAAATCAAGTCGCTTGTAATTTTTGGTCAGACAAGTTAAAATAATTTTGTTATGAAAATTGCAATTATTATCGGTTTATATTTTATATAGCTTCATAGAGATAAGTCGGACTTTATTTTGTGCGTCAAAAAGGCTTTCAAAAAGTGGCTCAAAAAATTCAAATCAAATCAAGTCGCTTGTAATTTTTGGTCAGACAAGTTAAAATAATTTTGTTATGAAAATTGCACTTATTATCGGTTTATATTTTATATAGCTTCATAGAGATAAGTCGGACTTTATTTTGTGTGTCAAAAAGGCATTTAAAAAGTGGCTCAAAAAATTCAAATCAAATCAAGTCGCTTGTAATTTTTGGTCAGACAAGTTAAAATAATTTTGTTATGAAAATTGCAATTATTATAGGTCTATATTTGATATAGCTTCACAGAGATAAGTCGGACTTTATTTTGTGTGTCAAAAAGGCATTTAAAAAGTGGCTCAAAACCGTCATACATTTCAGGCTTACTTTATCTTAGCTTCCATATATACTGAGTATAAAACAATTCTGCTTTTAAAATAAGAAATTCAATTTCAATTCAATTCATTTCTTAGTTACAGAAAAACTATTAATTCTATATCTAAAATCATTGTGTGGCTCTTGCAGACTTCGATGCCAGCTCCAGTGCGAATGGTTCCAGCTTGGATTGCCTGAATCTCATAGTGCAGAGCATAAATAAGAGCAGCAATAGTGGCATTTCTACGGCTCTCACAGGCAGCGGGCAAGGTCAAAGTGCAAATGCGCACACGGCGACGAACTCAGCGGGGCACAAGGCAACAACAACAACAACGACGGCCCAAACAACAACAGCAACAACGCTGCATGCAAATTTTAAACAGAAATGCAATACTACTTAGTGGCATGCACCAGTCTTAAGCCTTAATCCCATGTCTAGTTAATTGTAAATTGTATATTTTTAAGTGCCCCGAAGGATACGCGCTATACCCACCAAGCCAAAGCCAAAGAAGTACCCAGAGAGAGATAATTAGTTAGTTGTATGTTAATTAAAAGTTTAAATTATACTGTAAATTTAGCATAAAACTAAACACTAATAAAAATAAACATAATGAACAAGCGGAATTCTTGAAATCTCTCCCCATCTCCCTAATCCACCTCCAGCTTACGGAAGGAGCCGCTCAGCTCGCCGGCTGCCCAGCTATTGGCCAGACCCACGCGTAACTTCTCATTCGTGCAGAATTGTGCATCTTCCGCAAAGTATTGCTGGTACTCGTTCAGCTTCTGTTTCCAGTAGTCCAGGGCCTCGGCCTGATAGCCATTGGTGCCGCCATACTCGATGGTCATGGCCTCGCGAGGCAGGTGCTCGTACAGATCCTCAGCCTTCTTGTGCACCACAAACTGCAATGGAATGACGTTTAAGTAATGATGTTATTAAAAATAATGTGGACATACCTTCCAAGGCAGCTTGGGTGGCAGAAAGGAGGTGACAAAGTTGAATATAGCCTGTCCCTCCCGTCGCATATTGATCATGTGTACTTCTACGAATCGGAGGGGCAAGCACTGATCGACTAGAGCGAACGTTTTCTTCAGCAGAAACGGATCGTATTGCAGCATTTGCTCCATATTGACATCACGGGCATCAATCACATAGAACAGGCCCGCCACACTAGCATTATCGCACTCCAGGGCCAATAATTCCAATAGCATAAAGAGCAGCTTGAATGCCTCGCGCGGATTCGATTTTTTCGTATCAATTTTGGAGAACTGCGATATGATGACCCGTGGACCCATTGCACTCAAGGGGCGCGCTGGAATGATGTGTATACTGTTTGGAGGTGGAAATCAAAACATGATTTAGTTGGTTAACGTTATAGAATTCATTTAATTAGGTGATTAATAAAATAAATAAACGAAAATATGATATATGTGCATTACTGAGTTCTGCGAGTAATATTTCTTAAATTTAAAATTATGATTACATTCAGAAATAGTAAAGCTGGGAATTTAGAAATGAAGAAAACAAATTTGAATTGAAAATTTTAAATTTAGGTTTTTGTTTTTATTCTTTAATTACCTCAACAGAATGATGATGGCTTGAAAATATGATTTGAAAACATTTAGCAATTTTAAACAAACCGTTTTTTATGAAAAATGTGTTTTCTACATAGCAACTTTTAGATAACTACTTATTTATAAAATGATTTAAAATCTATCATAAAAACACGAAAAAATAGAAAACTTGATCTGTTTAATTATATTACTGTGAATCTTCACATTTGGCTTTATTTAGAGCTGGATTCCTTAAAAATAAACTCATTTATTTGATTTAAGGAACACAAGATAAAAATAACAAGATTATGAAGAAGCATAAAAAATTCATCTCATTCAACAAAATGCAGGAACAGGTCTCTTGGACAAATATATTTTTGGAATTATCATAATGTTGCATATGTTTCATAATTTTAGCGTTTTTTCTCTCCACCCACTCTTTAATACAAGTATATCCTTAGACTTGCTTAAAGTAGACTTAACTTAAATGTTTCGTTTATGTTTACTACTAAAAGCGAAAAAGTATCTGGAACAAATAGCAGTAAATAGTTTTATCATTATACTTAATATTTTAAAATTTTAAACCACGGCTATTATTGCATACACTATTTAAAAGAATCACCTAAAGGTTCTCCATTAGAAAAATCCAGAAACCATGGAAAACGCAAACTTTGTGGAGATCAAAAATTGTACAAATAATGGAGACCCTTTGGGAGTTCTTTCAAAGAAGGTTTATGCCAGGGTATGCAGTTATTGATTTCATTTTAACTCTTCTCAAATTGAGTTTAACCTATTATATCGTATTTAGACGATCTTAAATACACATTTCTTCATTTTAAGTTGAAAGCAAGAAATTTTTAGAAAAAATAACTTTTTCAATAATGTAAGCACAAGTCAGCGTCTATCATACACATTTAATAAGAGCAGTTAAAATTGAAGAAGAGGCTTTCCCTATTAGGTTAAGTACATGACTAAGCTATTGGGATAGGCACACCACTGACTCACCCACGCTGGAATTGTGTTAGAAGTGCCTCGTTCACCTGCCGATCGCAGAGCACCTCGGGGAAGACGCCTCGTAGGGCATAGTAGTTGTCGATGCGTCTCTTGGTCTCCTCCAGGCTGAAGCGACAGCGACGCAGGAAGGACAAAAGGAGCTGTTCGTTGGTGCGAGCGCTTAGATGAGGCGACTTCGTAATCCATGTCTGTAGCGTGGCAATGAGAGCCTCATTTGCGGCGATATTCTCGTTGCACTCGGCCTGTGCTGTGGCCTCCAGGTGAGAGCGTCCGCAAACTGAACGCAGACATGGCGCTAAGTAAACTAAATTTGTATATGTATGTACATGGCTGAACAAGGTAGAGTTAACACTGGCCCATATCTAATCGGAGTGGTGTTAATGGGTGGAACACTTGCTCTTTAGATACCAATAGATATGCGAATTAGTCAGCACGGTCGGGCGGCCACCCTCGACATTGAAAATGATAAGTAGAGGAAAATATGTTATCTATGCATACGCATATTTAATTGATCGACTAGAGCAGACAGAACACTTATCAATAGGTTGGTGATGGGTGAACTCAATCCCAATTCAAACGGCGAAACGAACCACTAGCTCCGAATTCAGCCTCGTACATAGCAATCTCGCCAGATCGCAGCTCCTCAATGGTCCCATAGTTGCAGTCCATTTCAAAGTAGCGTCTATAGATATTTAGTAAGTCTTCCATGTAAGCAATGCACTCGCCCATATGGCCATTGGTTCCGCCATACTCTTCCGGCAGACAGTCGCGCCCTATATGCTCGTGCAATTCCTCGGGGTTCTTGAGCACGCGTATCTGTAAGGATTGTGAAAAGTTAACTTTGATGTTAAAAAAGGGTAAGTATGCTTAGAAACCAAATTTTTTAAATAAAATGGGATTCCATGGAACGAATCAAATAAAAATAGAGCCAAAACGGAACAGAAAAGTAAAAAGATAAAATATGAAAGAAAATAAATTGAAATAAAATGAAGCAGAATATAAGAATTCACATTTGGAATCAGAAAGGAACATCAAGCATAGAAATTCTCAAATATGGAGTAATAAATATAGCGAATATATATAAATGAAACGAAAGTGAAACGAAAGTGAAAATTAATAAATAGGGGAAATGAAAACAGATATCAAATATAAATAAAATCAAAATGAATTGAAAAGGTAACTGAAAATGAACATAATGAATCGGATATAAAACAAATATATAACAGGGATGGAATAGAAATGCAACAGAAATGAAACAGAAACGGATTTGAGCTTGAACCGAAATGGAACTGAAACTAATAATATGAATTATCATCCATTTCCTGTATTTCAAAGCATTCTAAGCATTCCTTTTTGGAACCAGTATTTTCAAAAGTTCAATCTTACAACATATATCAAATTTTCCTAAATTATAAATTTTTATTCAGAACTTAAATGTTTTGGTTGGGTTTTATTCTTGATCTTAATTTAGTTGTCATTAAACAAAAGAAAACTTTGAAATCATATCGACACTGTAGCTTTTACTTACTGGATAGTCCACTTGCAGGCTCAGCACATTGTAGAGGAACATAATGGTGCTCTGTATATCCTTGGGCATGTTGATAATGTAGACCTCCTTAACCTTCAAGGGACTGCAGTGATAGAGCCAATTCCACCACTTGCGAAAGAAAGTCTTGTCAAAGCGACGAATTTTATCCGAACTCACACCTTCTAAATCGATAATTTCGCAAATGCCCGCTACCGATGCGTAATCATTCTCCAGTGCAACAATTTCCATGGCCATGGATGCGAAATGATAGATTTCGCGAAGCATATACTGATTGGGATCGAATTGACCAAAGCGAGCGATAAAAATCGCACTGCGATTATCACACTTGGGCATGTCCGGAAACAGACAGACCCTGTAGGAAATTGTAAGATTTTATTGGTAATATGGTAATACTAGCCCATGGTAGTTGCTCACATACCCCAGTCGATTGATGTCCTGCAGGCGCTGAGTGACACAACGATTGCTCATTACTTCGGGGAAAAAATTGTAGTAAGTGAAGTAGCGGTCGAGACGTCGTTTGGTCTCCTCCAAGCTGTAGCGGCAACGTCGCAGGAAGGCAATGAGGAAATCGTCCTCGGTGCGTGCTCGCAGGTGTGGCTGCTGCTTAATCCAAACGCGTAATATAATCAGGTCCTGTTGGATGCGATCGGGCGTCTCGTTCAGCTCCTGCTCGGCCAGCTTGGCCAGTGTGGGTGACAGAGGACGTCGCATGCTGGCGCTACTACGGTTAGGTGGCGTTTGACATTTGGCCAAAAGAAAAACGCGCCACGCATTCGGTTTATTTGCCTATGCACAGCTTTAATCTAATCTTATCAGACGCATGCGAGTTGTGCTGGGAAAACACAAACCCATACATTACATGACTGAATAAAGGAGGGTGGGGTCCTGCAGAATTGGCCCATTTCGTTTTTCTGTTTTTCTGTGGATAATGATAGCAATGCACATCCGGCCACTTAAGTGCCACTCTCAGACACAGTCACACTCACAGTCATAGATATAGTTATAGTCAGAGTCAGATGCCGATTTGTGAAATGTGATCGCTGGTTTATGTTTGAAATAAATTCGTTGCTAAATAGAGGGGCAGCCCCTTGGTGAGCATTCAATTTACTCGTAAGTGTCGCACTGCGTCGGCCTGTCAATGTACATTACAGCCTCAAGTGCTGACATCTGTAGGTGCTGGGCTGGTGTTGTTCCTTGAGGCCACCTTCACTCGATTCCGTCAGCCAGCAAATTGCTGTGACATGGCGCTGTCAGCTGCTGACAACCACACGACGATGTTGAGTCGTTGCTGGGTCTGTGGCTCCGACTGTTCTGTTTCGGTTCTGTTTCAGGAAGCCGAGCAACTTCGCCTCTCATCTCCACCAATAACTCATAACACATTATGGTAATATGCTTTGATCTTGTTGACAGGCCAGCGCGTGTAAATTCCCTTACATCGGGTTCTGTTCATTGCTCTTGACACAAACATATCGCTGCCATATTAATAATGAGCCTCATTAACTGCATGCACTACAAAAACACAACGCTTTGCCGCCTTCACGCCACTCCCCTATACCCACAGTTTAGCTCCCGATATTGCTGGTGGTAGGTCTTTAAAACAAATACAATATAAAAAATGAACTGAGAGCTGAAAGGGTGTTCTGTGTAATTGACACGCTCATTGCTGATAAGTACATTTCGATGTAATTCAACAGATATTCCCAGACTTACAGATGACTTCTCATTCACATGTTCTTCGGCTCTATAAAGTGAAAACATAGTATAATGATATCATAGGAGAAATACTCAGGGAACTGCTTTAATGCCTACTCTTGTGTGAAAATAAGGATACTGATTCGCTTTCAGCTTTGAATACTGAACGATATTTTGGAAAAGAAACAACTGATGGATAATTTTTGAGGGACATTTTTAGAAAATATGCGTAAAATTTTCAATATGACACATGTACATACAAGCTTAAAGATTTGTAATTTAATATTAAAAATTTTTACGGATTTATAATAATAATATTTTAATCTGTAATATTTCAGGATTTGTTTTAAATTTCAGTCCGGCTTATGTTACTGTTGGTTAACCATTTAATTGTTTATTTGCGGCTTAAGGGAGTAGGGACCGACGTTTTTTTTTATAGAAAATATGAGTAAAATTTCCTATACGGCGCATGTACAAGTTTAAAGACTTGCAATTTCTGGGGTTCAATTTGATACTGATCTGTAATAATTGGTTTCAATTTTACATTTTAATAGGTAGAATTTCAGCATTTGTTTTAAATTTCAGTCCGGCTTATGTTACTGTTCATCTATCCTATGTTACTGTTGGTTAACCCTTTAATTGTTTATTTGCGGCTTTGGCTTAGATTAAGAAAAAATACCTCAATTAAAATCCAGTCCACTTGATGATGGGTTATTGTTTTAGAAGTTTCAGACAAGAGGAGGTATTCAATTGGGCTCTGTATGAAGCACTGTAGTTATTTTTTTCATTGTTCGACAACAATATAATAACAAAATGCTGCATTTCAATAAAACCGCCTAAGCCTAAAAAAGCTCAAAATTTTAAATCTAACCAAATAGACGGTTTTGGGATAAATTAAATTTAAGTCTTCTTGTTTTATTTATCGATTAATTTCAATAAAAACAGGAGAGTGGAAAACTAAATAAATCGTTAATCTTATAAACATGCACGAGTATATATGTATGTACTATACATGGTTTATAAAGTAGGTTTCAACATTATAAGACACTTTGAAAATATAAGTTCAGGCTTAAAATTAAATTAAGCCCGATGGTTCTCTATATTTTATTGAAGAGGTCTTTGAAAGGAACCTCTTTACTTTTCCAAAAGCAAAGGTGCCATAAATTGATGAACAGGAAACGCTTGTGCTTACGAAGGTAGTGATGTCTGTATCCTAACCATGAGGAATTACATCTGATGAAGAATATGTGAAGCATTCTCTTGAGACGGATTTGTGTAAATAAGATCCAATGACACTGAAGAGCTGAAGAAAGCAATAATTGCTGAATGAGCTAATTATGAAAAAAAAATTGTTTTGTATTGCTAAAGCCAGAGGCGCTACTATTGATTACAAACATTTCTAATACTCACAAATAGTTGCTTAGGAGAAAACGTTTATTAAGTTAATATTCTTAGTCTATACACTGACGTTCATATATTTAAAATTAATTCAGTTTTTTGCTTAAGTTATAACTAAGTATATTTCAAAAAGTTGTAGCGTCTTTTAATTATACTAAGTATATACTATATGCATTACGGATTAATAAAGTCGACAATAGAAATGCACAACTAGAGTGCTTGTGTGGAAAAAGTAAAAATCCTAAACTTTGCTAAACCTAACATATACTCGTACGAATGTATTTCCTTATATTATTTTTGCATTTAAAGAGCTCATATACATTATACCACGTTTTAACCGTACCCTCACACATACATATCCGAAAAAGTCGCAGCCACATGCCAGCACAATATTTAATATTATGAGCGTTTCATGTTTAAATTTATAGATTTACATAAAACGCCCCATTTTGCGCACAATGTGCGGCTAGAAGCAAATGCATTTGCTTGCGCCCAATTGACAATCATATTTATAGCGCATATTTCAAAAAACAACCTCAAGAAAAATATAAAAAAGAGGAACTAAAGAAAACATCTACTCGTATGTATCTAGAATGTTTGGTCGTTGTTGCCGCTTGACTGCCAGTTGTCACTCAACTTGATCCAGAATGTCGTTTGTACTCGCCGTCCGTCCACCCAGATGAAGACGCATCGAGCTCTGGCACAGCATGGACGATGCACTGAACGCCAAATTATATTTCATTGTAAACATGCGCGTGCATCCAACAGATACAAACGTTACGCCAAATTGAATTGCTTAGACAAATTTCCGTTAGCACACAAATCCCCCGAGCCCTAAGCGCTGTATCCTGTTGCAGACAGCGAACGATTTCAAAAGGGAATTTATGTGCATCCGTTTTGTCGTCGTCCATGTACATTATATCGGATTTAATTGCTCCATGGGGTCGAGAGCGTGCAGCAGCTGGCTGACCATTGACTAAGGGAGTGACTCAGATTGGTTGCATCATGGGAAGCTGCAATTAATTGACTTAATTGATGAAGACGATGCACTAGATACTACTTAGTTAGGCTGCATAAAAAATGAATAGAATTACAATTTGAAATAGATTTCAGATATAAGCTAGAGTAGAGTTTTTTATGTAATCGTTCATTTCACAAGCGTATAAGGAAGTATTATGTGAAGAACTGTGCCTAATTTTATTAATCAATGCATTAAAATTATTATGTAGCGAGGCTTTTGATTTGAAGACACTTCATTTTATATCTCATAAAATATTGAAATGTTTTACTTTTAAATTTAATCATAATGGTGAGTAGAGAAATTTCTTTACAGGGCACATATTTCACGTTGGTTGGACCAAGCAGGAGCTCAACTCAAGCAGAGCGACGAAATAAGTTGGAAGATAGTATTCCAAATAACAAGAAACATGATGTAGGAATTCTTTTTCATCTGCCCTGATGCTACAAGATGCATCCCCAAGTACACAGAATGAAATGATAAAAAATTTCACAGAATTAACATTCCAAAGACAACATTTAGAAGTGACAAATAAGAGCATAACTTTTTGTATATTCTTGTGACTGAAAATGAAAGATTCGGCTTTCAATATAATTCGAAAATCAAGCATCAAAGTATGGAGACAAGCCCCCATATGAGTCGCAACCTCAAAAAGTTGTTTGCAGTAGTCACATGTGAAGACATTATATATTTGCTTCTGCGATTCGCAAAAAAATATTTATCGGGAATCCACTCGTCTAAACCATCATATATTTCGATATTTTGAATATGCTTTATTTTAACAGAAAATTGTATTTGCCCAAGAAAGGATATCATGTAGCACCTTCAACGCGTGGAAGACATTTAAAAGGCTCGTACCACGATGCTTAAGGACATGCCAGCTGACGGACTAAAATAATCTTTCCATGTGCTTTTTGATTGTGCAGAATGTTGTATTGATCCGGAAGGTGTTCGAAGGTGCTTTTGAATAAAATAAACTTATGTTGCCACAATTCTGGGAAGTTCTGGTTTCCTTGAGATGCGACTTTACTCTGCCTTCCAACAACAATTTTATTAATTACATCAACTACAATATGATATATAATATAGAGATCTGTCGTAGTCGGTCTTGTATCTGTCAAAAAGAAGCCTTGGTCGAACGGATGCAGAACTTCAATAAAAAAGAATTCATTTAGAAGTAAATTTTAGTTGATTATTTATCATCTACAGATTTTAAAATAAAATTGTGGCTCAAATTTACAAAATAAATATAAAATGTAGTCAGTTATGTGTAGAGCACGGTGTGCCAGGAGCGCGGGGGAATGCGCATTGTGAGCTCGCCACGTCGAGTATCTTGGAAGTGCACGTCCAGGGGCGCGTTCTCGCTGCAAGAGAGTAAATGGCTATTAGTTGTTGCCGCTTGAGACGCGCAGATACATTCATAAAAACGAAACGACATTAATGCAACATTTTAGGCGACGGCTGCACTTGAGTTCCCAGCAACGTACACAGAGCAATTAAAGCGAGGCACTTAAGCGGCACCGGCACTCGGATGACAGGAACGCCGGCGGTGACAAAAATAGCGCTTCGATATTTAAGCAGGATATGTGCAATGAGGTCGGTCTCTTAATAGGAAATAGAGACACACTTGAGAGTGCAGCGCGTGGCACTTACCCGTTGTATAAAATCACAGCAATATTGCCGTCTGGTCGCTCGAAGCCCACAGCAGTTAGTTCGGAGCCCGAAACGCTCGTCTCGATACGCTTCGACTTCTCTGGCAAGAATTTGGAAAAATGGCCGATGGCATAGAACATCGGTTGCTTGTAGAACTCGGCGCGATTGGTCGTGTTCACAATAATGGGCGAATCCACATAATTGTGCGAATAGTTCGGTCCGCCCTGTTCGTCCAACACCAGATTCCAATCTAGCCAGCCATTGAAGTTGTGCTGCAGGTCCTGAAGATAGGCGCGCATGTAATGCTCACCACGCTCCCAGGAACCCAGCTCTGGACCATGGGTCTGCCATGGCTTATCGCCCAAACACGACTCTGTGTTGAGCAGCAATTTGTTGGGCATTTCGTTGTGTATCTCATCGATGAGCTCTGGTCCGAAGATATCATCCCAATACCAGTGCACTGCCAGACCATCTAAGTAATCCACAGAGTTCCTGCGTGAGCGGCGCATCTGTTCAAATAAATATAAATATCATGTCCTTAATGTTGTGCATTTTCTATACTACTATCTCTCGTTTACCTTACGAAACCAGCCCGGATATGTGTAACGCTGATCATCATTGCCAAAGATCTTAACTTGAGAGTGTGCCGAATTCCTTATAGTTGGTCCCAAATGCTCGCCTAGCCAAATAGCCTGCCAGAAATAAGCCATACATTGCTCCCCTGCTCTCCATTTTAGTTGTATTCCCTACCTGTTGTCGTGGCGTCCACCCCATGCTCATAAAATGCACAAAGAAGAAGCCAATGATGCCGTTTAATGGCTCATTGCCAGTGGATATGGCCCAAATCGGCATGCCATTAGCTTCCATTAGATCAAGAAATCTGCCATTCAGATGCAAAGTGAACATTTTATATAAATAGCTCATAGCTCGTTTTCACTCACTTCAAATGATATTGCGCCCATGTGTCATAATATTGGAGCTTCAGCTGCCCAAAGCCTGTCCAGCGTCCATTGGTCTTCATCCAAGGCGGCGCACTCCAAGCGGCGGCCATTATTTTCAAAGCAGGCAGACTAGCCACTGTCTTTAAGCGCTGCAGTTGCTCTACTTTGAGTAAATCTCTGGCGTCTAATGAGCTGAAGTTGCTTAATTGTGCATCGTTCTGCGGCTGCTCGTTGTAGGCCCAGGGCTCAAGATCAAAGTCACAGCCACCAATGGACGTGCGTACAGTATTATAGCCGATGCCCTGAGAATGAAAGTAGGACCTAGAATTGGCGGACATCAATAGGAGTTACTGGCATCATTTATTCAAGCACAGGAGGAACAGAAAGCAGATTTCAATTGTATAATATACTTGTACGAGTATGTCTTACTTGTAAATATGATCTTGCAGATCGGTGGGTAGTTGCTTCAGAATGTGCGAAACGCTGCCGGTTAAGGCTCCACCGAAGTTAGATATCTCCTGATAATGTTTACTCCGATCAACCGAGATTTTGACCGTCTTAACACTGCCATTTAAGGCTGTGGGAGAATCAAAAACATATTTATAAGAAGGATTAGTATATGGAAGAATTATAAGTTGATCAGCATAGAAGTATTCCATGCTTTATTCAAAACGATTTGTTACTGCGTAAATTAAATCAGTGTAAACAATAACATGTACAGTAAAAGCTCGGAAACTGCAGCCACTTGCGTTCAAGGCCTTTTCTGAATAGTTATATTTTAGAACCAATATTTAAAACTTATAAAACCCAATAGATATCTTAAGCATCTATGCATATTAACAACAAAGATTTTGGTACTATTTTGGTACTCTATTTCCGCACCGATCGTGTGAACCCTTATTGATAGAACTTCTTTGAAATGATACACAATACAAAACTTATTTTTTATTAACAAATACTTGATCTTAGTAAGAGTGATTTTTTCATCGATCAGTCCTAAATTTTATAATAAGGCTTTATATGGTTTGTGTGCATTTTGTAGTTGAATTTCGTTTCTTTATATTCGATGTGTAAGCTTATTTGTTGCGAGAACTTGTGTTATTATTAGGTTTACTTATGTTTTGATTTAAAGTTAGAAATTGTATTTAAAATTAAGTCAAATCCTTTAAAAAATTATGTATTTGTTAAGAAATTTAAGTGCATGAAATTGTTTCTACCAATCTCTTGAAAGTAGTCTAGCAAAACGATTTCAGATCTTCAATTTCGCATTGAAACGTTAATTTTACATATTCTGGTTCAAAACCATGGCTGCTAATAGTTATTCAAAATTATATTCTTAATATTTTTAGCTTTTCAAAGATAAACTCTACAACTCTACGAGTACATGCTTTCTTGTGGATTCCTCTTAGTCTGGAACCACAAAACCAATTCCAGTCGTGACTAAGCTCGTAGTCCTTGGTGTAATGCCCCGCTACTCACCTAACAAGGCTGGCCTGGTGGCCAATTGCAGCCAGGCCCTGTTTTGTTCCACTATAATAGCCTCTGCAATGAAACTCTTGGCGGTGCTTCGTTCGTCCTCTATTACAAATTTATCCTGTCCATCAAAGCTCGCGTCTGTGCTCTTGAATCGCAATCCATTCTAAGCAAACAAAAACATTGTTTAACCACATAGAATACGTGTTTGTATTCTTCCTTGGTTATATGAAAATAGCTCACCTGGCTGGAGCTAATCACCACAATTTGCTGTCCATTGTTAAGCAAAGGCATTTCCACATAGTCACAATAGCTGCTCGTACACACACACACACTGCCGTGGCTCGTCTCGCGCAGGCGACAGGGCAACGTCTCAGCAGCTGATAGAGGTAGAGGGGAGTGCGAAAAATTTCACCTCCGCAACCTTGTCGATACGATGATGATGTACTTACCACATGATGGTGAGCAAAAAACTGATATGAGCAGCAGCAGGCAGAGCTGCAAGTTCGCTTTCATTTTTGCGTGCATTCCCACCTCCGAGTTCAACCGAAATAGAGCGCGGCTCGTAACGTGCGCTCCGAATGCGCGCCCACAACTGAGCTCTGAGATTTATGGTTGCGTGCGAGCTCAGAGATTTATTTTGCGTGCTCTCTGCACCTCTGTTGTGTTTTCAATTTTGTTTTGCTTGCTATTTAACCTATTGATATTGGAGTCGGCTTGCCGGTCAGCTGTTGATTTGATAAAGCAATCGACGCGACGCTGCGATCGCTCGCTGATTGTCCACTTGGAAGTCGGCGCACGGATTGGGAAAGCAAAACGAATGGAAAGTTATGCAAACGACAGTTAAATAACCCACACATTGCTTGAGTCATGAAATATTTAACCCTATAAAACTAATTAAAAGTCATCCTAAAAAAAAAATGATCATTTTTGGTATAATAATCATAATTCTGTTCATTTGAAAAGCAAATAAGTAAATACAATCGAACATCGAAGGTCGAGTGCATTCTTTTAAATATTTTTGATAATTTCCACAAACGAAATTCCTTTGTATTTTTTATAACTTTCGGGGAAATTGTGTAGTTTTGAAACTGCTATCTTGCCTAACTCACTTAGGTCCAGGTTATGCCCTGGACTCTTCTACGTTCGCTCATGGTTCCCATTCCGAAGTCTGAATGAACCTGTTAGTTTTAACATTTTGAAAATATTTCGATTGAATAATATTTTATATTGTAGATAGATTCTTCTAGAATCTAGGCTAAGAAATCAGAATGTAAGCTGTTAGTCTTAACATTTTGCAAATATTTCGATTGAATGTGTTCGTATTATAGATAGATTCTTCTAGAATTTAGGTTAAGAAATCAGAATAAACCTGTTAGTTTTAACATTTTGAAAATATTTCGATTGAATGTGTTCGTATTATAGATAGATTCTTCTACTATCTCTACGTAAATAAAAATTAAAGTTATAAAAAAATTCAATTATGTATCTCTACTTGTAGATCGTGTTTCAAATATTTACTTTTTTAAGATATTGAAACAGCAAACAATAATTAAATGTATTTATTTTTTGAGAGAGATATTTTTTTATGAAAGATGCTATTATTTTTATTAGACGAATCAATATCAGTCATTAAATAATTACCTCAAGTTTCTTCCTTTATTTTGTAAAAATCGCAAATACAATACTAAGTATCTAACTATAAAGTAGTGTGTGAATGGACTTGGGGGGCACATTGATTATCAGCGTACCACGTACACTGTCGACGACCGTAATGTCCAGATCGGCGCGTCCACTATTGAAGAGCACGGCCGCGATTTGACCGTCTGGTCTCTCAAAGGCCACAGTATTCAGATTAACATTGCTGGCTATGGCGTCAATGCGTACGGAACCCTCGGGCACAAACTTGGAGAAGTGACCCATGGCATAGAACATGGGCTGTTTGTAGAACTCTTCAAAAGCTGCAAAACAATGATTAGTGATTGAAAGGAATCAGAGTATTATCATTATTACTTGTTGTATTGGCTATGACGGGTGCATCCACAGTATTATCCACATAGTTGGGGCCGCCAATCTCATCGAGTATGATATTCCAATCGATCCAGCCATGCAAGCCATGTTGCAAGTTCTGTAGGAAGGAACGAGCATATTTTTCACCTCGCTCCCAGCTTCCCAGAAGTGGAGCTGACTTTTGCCAAGGCTTATCGCCAATACATGACTCAGATACAATACGAATCTTATCGGGCAGGTAGTCGTTGGTTTCGTCCATAAGACTGGGGCCAAAAATTTCGTCCCAATACCAATGCACTGATAATCCATCCAGATAGTCAATCGAGTGCGGGCGTGTATGATTCATCTGTAAGGGTGGTCAGTAATTATTTGAACTACTTCAATTTTATTAACTTACCATTTTGAACCAATGAGGGAAGCTCCAGCGCTGATCATCGTTGCCAAAGAGCACAATATCCTTAAACTTGGAGCTGCGTAACGTTGGTCCCAAATGCTCATCTAGCCATACCGCCTGTTTCTGGGGTGTCCAGCCCATGCTCATGAAGCGCACAAAGTACATGAAGAAGATGCCGTTGAGTGGCTCGTTGCCCGTTGAGATAGCCCAAATGGGCAGACCATTCTTCTCCATTAGCTCCAGCCACTTAATATGATAATCCGCCCAGGCCTGATAGTATTCGCGCTTTAATCGCCCAAAGCCGGTCCACCTGTTGTTCGTTTTCATCCAAGGAGGTGCACTCCAAGCCGCGGCCTTTATACGCAAGTTCTCAATGCCAGATACCTCGATGAGACGTTTGATTTGCGCCACCCTAAGGACATCCCGGTCGTCCAGCTCTTCCATTGCACTCAGCGTGGCGTCACCTTCGGGTTGTTCGTTGTAGGCCCAGGGTCCCAAATCGAAGTCGCAGCCTCCAATGCTGATGCGCATTAAATTAAAACCCAAGCCATCGGCAGCATAAAACGACTCATAGAGATGATCTTGCAGTTTCTGTGGGTACTGGTCGGTCAGATAGGAAACAGCTCCCGTGAAGCTGCCCCCGAAGCCCACAATTTTCTGATGCTGCTTGCTGCGATCTACGCTCAGAGTCACTGAGCGTGTGATGCTGCTGGCACGTGAATTCTTCTGACTATCTTCCGCTAGCTCCAAAAAAGCCGTAGCCTTCTCCACCAGCAACGCAATGACATCGAATTTGGATACCTCTTCAGTCAGATTGCTCTTAGTAGCCTCACTTTCCTCATAGTCGGCCACAGTGTATTTCTCGTCCTTCTGAAACTCTCCGCCTAGCGTAGCGAATCGTAGTCCTTGCTTCGAACTAGAAACTATCGCAAACTCATTCACATCTTCAAGCGTGGGATTCTCGAGATAATCACAATGATCCTCAGAACAAACGCACACCTTTCCATTATCCACGTTGCGTAACTTGCAGGGCACTGTTTCTGCTTGGCTGCCTAAAGGGCGGGTCATTTTATAAATAATTATATTGCCGGTATATGATAGTTAGCTTACCGATTACGGCTATCAGCAGTATGCCGAGGAACAGAAAGCTCCGTTGGCACATTTCTCTCTACCGTTCGTTCCAAATGCTAATAGAAGACTGAAGAAGCGTTTGCCCGATGGGAGCTAAACAAGAACTTGGTGGCATTTGGACACAACAATCTTAACTGGCCACTTGAGAAGCTCAAGGCAAAATGCTGTGTAGCTTTGCTGATTCACAATCTTAGAACGAAACTGAAGAATTATAAAAAAATAAATTATGCTGAAACTATACTATATTTCTCATAACCCATATGTAGATTTATTAATGGAATTATTTTTTTTATTTATTTCAATATTAGTGCCTTCACAATTGAAGATTGAAGAGGTGAAACTTTTAAAATAACAAAAAACAAGGATGTTAAAATAATCTTTTTTTCCTTTTGGTATAATGAAGTTCAATCCAATGAATCATTCGCTAAATGCGTTGCATTTAAAAGCATGGTCAGACAGGCAAACAATTTGCACTAATTTTTTTATCGAATTTGCATTGAATAATATTTTAATAAAACCCACAATTCTGTACTGAAATATAAACTAAATGATTTGTATGTCTGACCGTAGATTAATTAAACTGACCGTACTGGTTTTGGTTCTTTCTAGATTTCTTCATGTTTTTCGAATAATATATCATTGTAAATACAAACATTGAAAATTAAGGTAAATAGCGCATTTTAATAAAACAATCATATTTAAATTACAGAATAAAATATTATATTTTACTATATAAAGCTAAATAATTAAAAAATAACGGTGGAAGGGTATACTAGAGTGGGCCTCAGCTTATTTTCCGTCTTATTATTGACGGATTTATATGCTAAGTCCGATAACTTGTAAAGATAAATTTAGTTAAACCACGAATTTCTCCTTTAAATGTGTATTTAAAAATTTTCTGAAAACATTTCTTACATTACAAAAATTAAAAAAAAGTCCACCTTGTTTTAAGGTAGCAATAATATAACCTTGAAATACGATAATTTTAGATAATAATTGTAATACTTTTCTACAGCTTTTAGTCGATTGTACATCATTGATTGACATCAACAATTTCTGCGTTATTTATGGCGATATTTTCCTTCATCCCTTTTGCAAATCATTATAATGATTTCTTTGCATATTTTCTTATTTTTTGTTGATAAAATTCTTTACATCTCTTTAAGTACATTTGTACATTTTTATAACAATATTCCCATCGAGAAAAAATTATTTCCGAAGCCCGATAAAAACATATTAGCCGAAACCATAACTGTGCCTTCAGCGCGCCAAACTGCATGCAAATTTTTCAAATTATTTTGTTTGTTTATTGGGCTTCTTTCGCACAACAAATAAATAAAGACGGGTATGCTACTAAATTAAACTTGAGATACATGAAGTGTTTTATTAAATAAAATGTGGAAACTTTTTACTATATAATAAACAATATAAAGCTATAAACTTGGCTTGTTCGATTTTCTGTTTCAATGTGGGAAAAGAAATTATTATTAATATTACAAGTTATACAATATATCTATGTATATGTTTATTAGAAGAAGGTGGGATATAAAACCATATGATTTAAGTAGCTTTATAGAGCAGAAACATCTTTGGAAAGGTTCCAAAGAGTTGCAATCAGTGGACCACTCAGTCGATTACATCGTTCGAGTGTACAACTATATTGAAATGTTTTAGTGACGTTTTAGAAAAAACTTGAGAGTAAGCGACTTTACAAATATCACATACTATACTATAGAGTAAATTAGCAGCTCATTTTGACTTTTCGCACATTCAATTGTGTGGCAAAGGCAATTATTGATTATAATTGACTTGACATAACATCTGAACAGTAATGGTCGCACAATCAAATGGTCGCAGCTGTGGCTTTTTATAAACAAACTTTTATACATATACTTGTATTAACTTATCGCTCTAATACAAAAGTATTCAACGAATTGGCATAGATTAGGTTACGATTTACAAAAAACCCACGTTTTGCAGTAATATGGAAAGCATATATTGGCGAGTGTTAAAAATTGGAGCACACCACGGCTGCAAGTGTCAAGCACCCTATGGCCGATCTCTGGCTTGCTCTAGCAACTGCCTTCTCGCTCTGGCTGCCTGCATAAATGAGCTATTAAAATCAATTTCAGCAACAATTTGACACAATCAGTCAAATGTATGCTTGCGACGCGACGGTGTCGACGTCAACGGCGACGTCGGCAGCGACAGCGGCAGCGCAGCGACCATTGCGTGGCTAAATTTAAACTGCAAAAACTCAATGAGATGGAAAATGTGGCAGCAGCCAGCAAAAAATCCATAGTGGCGCTTATCTTGACAGTGCCATGGCCGTAGAAAAAATGGCGCTCTAAGCGACTGCTTGCCGGCTTTGTCTTGCTTCACCTATTTTAGCTGTAAACCTGGCTATTAAAAAAAATCAAGAAATAAAAAAAAAAGTTTTATCAAAAATTTTGTTGATTTGTTTTTTAATAATATGCAAAAAGTTTTTTTTTTGCGTTGGTCAATAGAGTTCTTGTGATGCCAGTACACTGGGAAATATGTTTCTTCTCCAACTTGTAGATCTTAAATATTAAATCCTTTTTAACACTGCCAGCTTCGATAGGAAGATATAATTCAATCAAAATTACGAAAATCAATATCGAACCCATAAGTTTGCAAATGTGTTTCTGTAATACCGAACACAGAGACGAGCGAACAGTTAATTCTGAAGTTGTGGGCTTAGTCTAAACAAGCCGTACCAGTCTAAACAGGGTATGAAAAGGTTGAGTAATTTTAGATATTTTTTGTTTAGTTGGTATTTTACTAAGCTGCGAAAAATTCCAATAGATTAACTGCAAATGTTGGCTTTCAAATCTCTTCTAATTTAGCACAACGGGTGTGTTTTAATTTTTTTTTTTTTTTTTTTTGGTGCAAGCTGTCTTCAGCAGATTTAATTTACATACTATATTTTCAGAACTGTATTGTTTTTTTCTATCCATATTTCTGGCTTGTTGAAATTAAGGTATTGTTGAATTATTTTTGAATCTGGCATCTTTTGCGAGCTACTGAAAACAACATCATAATAATGACGATTTTTCATTGCGATTCAGAAACTGAAAATGAAACTCACATATAAAGTAAGTAGGATATTGTTTTTAGTGCATTTATACACACAACATGATGTTGTACAAAAAATCAACAAGAACAACGAGAACAGCAACAGCAACAACACCAATAAAAATAAATCCCAGTTTAGCGTAAATTGAATCCAGATGAGTTACTTTCGTATTCGCTCGACCACCCGCTGCTATCACCACCTCAGTCCCTCAGTCCTCGACAAAGCCTTCTATACACGTATTGTGCGCCATGCAAGCCTTCGTGTTCGGTTCATTCGGTTCGCACGCTGCTAATAAAATACATTGGCAACATATCGAAGCCTTTCAATAGCCGCACATCCGTCGTGGTGCCAACACCTGTTGCCAAAGCGTGCGCAGCCTGGTTTGCTTCGAGTCCATCATCTTTTGTGCGTGCCGGTTTCTGTGTGTGTGTGTGTGAGTGCGCGATAATTTTGTGTAGCATACTTAGTGGCGCTCTTTGATAGACCCACCATATGGCAGCGTAAAAAGCATTGCTGTGTTCAATTAAATTGCGCCCGCACCATGTCGGAGAAATCTACGGCGGGGCGTGCGTCAGGAGCGGCTATGAATGCACCAACATCCACTGCCACCGCCGCCACCACACGCAGCTCGGCACCACACCTAGATGGGACAAATCGCTGCGCTATTGCACTCATTGTCTACCTAGCGCTGTTCCTGGACAATGTGCTGTTAACCGTGATAGGTAATTAGATTAATTGTGATAAGGAAGGAGTTGCGATATAATTAATTACATTTATTGCGTGAAACACAATCTTTCTGTTTCGAACAATATCGATTTTCGTTTTGGTTAAATTCAATTCAAAATATTTGAGTCTATACTATGTAAGGCATCTAATGTACTCGTAGTCTATATAGCCGACTTGTTTGTATGGATTTATTATTCTGCACATCGTTTAGGGCAGCAAAAGCTACAAAAACTGCTGTACTGCTTCCCATCATATAACTGTAGATTGTTTCTATTTGGATTTGAAAGAAACTTCATTTCGATTATAAATTTTAGAAGCATTTGAGATAAACAGTGGTGCAATCGCTTTAAGCACTTTATTACTCGGCATTCACTGATATTACAAAGACATTTTTCCAGAATTAGCAGGCATGTGAAAATAAATACTAATATAGAAATCTTGTATTGCAATCGTTTTGGAAATAAAATGTAAGGCGACCATCTTTTATAATTTTTCAAGAATGCTCTGAACAAAATGTCCTAATAAATGAATTAAGCTATGAAAATTATAGTTTAAACTCAAATTAAGTTGGAAATATTTTTGGATAGATATTGTATAGTTGGGGTTCAGGGTATTAGAAACTGCGGCATTTAGGAGAGCGGAAAAAAGACCAGACTCAAGAAAGAAAGCATCAGCACGAAAATAGGTTAGCGATGGCTGTATTTTTGTGAATGGTTTTTTATAATCGTCCATCGCAAGAATATACTTACGCATTTGTATATCTGGATGTATATAAGAGTAATGTTTTTCTTTGCAATGGAAGACCAGAAAAAGCCAACTAGATATCGCGTCTCACATGAATAAAATGACAGATGAAGTGCAATCATTCCTTTGAGCAGAAGTGTTACGTAGGCCGATTCATTTAAAATATTGCAGGAGGTCTTTAAATACGCCTGCATAGTATTTTTAAAACACAGACGAGAATGTTGTGATCTATTGTGATCGAAAATCAGCGCGTGATTGATGTTTTGGACATGAAACGCGTCGTAGCTTGAATTGTTCCGAAAACGTTAAATTTTTGGCAAAAAAAAGCGGCACCTTTTTGGAATTTTTCGCCCAGCCCACATATTTACCATTTAAATCCTCTTTCCAAATTAAATCAAATTCCCGGTTTCCCAGGCCTACCAGAAGAGTATGTATAATTGTCATATGTGAATAGGTCGTAAGGCGATAATAAAGATAATTATTAAAATTTTAACAATTTTCAGAGCATTTGTGAATACAAAGTATGAAGATTGTTTAATGTAGGTTTCGAAAAAAAGGCATCTTATTTAAGTGATTGTGTTGTTTAAGAACAGACTATTTGGAAGTATCTATAAATTCTCTAAATGAGATATTTTTTCAATAAAACCCCTATTCTTCATTTTAAAATACATAAATCCTATTTAATTGATTGTGTTGTTTAAGAATAGACTATTTGGAATTAACTATAAATTCCCTAAATAATCTCTTTTTTCAATAAAATCCCTATTTAAATGATTGTGTTGTTTAAGAACAGACTATTTGGAATTATCTATAAATTCCCTAAATAAGCTATTTTTTCAATAAAACCCCTATTCCTTACTTTAAAATACATCAGTGCCTATTTTGCCGGAATACTTGGCCAGCCTGGACCAAGTCGCACAGCCGCCTGCGCTGCTTCAACTCGAGGCAGGCGTGACGCAGACGCCGCAACCACAGCAGTTGTCCTACAACCATCGCCAGCCGGAGAGCGGGCAACAGCTGTACATGACCAAGCATCCCATTCCAGGCAAATCGATGGTGAACTTCACATTGCAGCAGCTGACGAGTGAGGCGCCTCCGCTCAACGCTGTCACTCTGGCCAATGTGGGCAACCACTCAAGTGGCAGTAATGTCAGCGAATACAACAATAGCAACAACAGTAGCAGTCTAGAGCGAGAGAATGGATCCATTGGGCTGCTGCTGGCCATGAAAGCGCTCGTCCAATTGATTTTCAATCCCATTGTGGGAAATCTGTCCAGTAAGTTTGGCTACCGACTGCCCATTGTGGTGGGAACGTTTTGTCTGCTGCTCTCATCTCTGGGTAAGTTTCAACAGCGTATCTATTTTTAAAAACTTCCCCCTAGAAAGTGCGAACACGATTCATATACTTAACGAAAAATGTAGTACTTTATGCCTATATTTGAATAGAAAGATCTTAGCAATTTTGATGGCAGACAAAGGCATATAAGCTCCATATTTTATACTCTGTGCCTAAAAGTTCGAAATAATACGAATTTGTCTCATATTTTTATAATTGAACTTGACTTGAAGAGATGTTCTTTAGAGGCATATGTATGTAATATTTTAATTGTTATTTGCATTATTCTATCCAGAAATAGGCATCCCTATGAGTGGAAATGAAAACGTTTTTTGATATATTTTATTAAAAAGAATTCCTTACAAATCTGAACAACTTTTCTTATTTATTTATTTATTGCTTTAAGAAGCATTTTGTAAGTCCTAGAACGTATTTGAAAAACATAAAAGGTATGAAATAATCTCAAAATAATGTTTATTAATTAATCAATTAAATACACAAAGACATAATTGTTGAGTATTCCATTCCCCGAAAGGAATCTGATAATCAGATGCACAGTACAATGCCTAAGTTAATATAATCTAATATTGAAAATCTTTCGAAAATTGAAAAATTTTAATTGAAATTTTAAATTTATTTAAAAGCACATCCTGCACACTTTTATATTTGTTCTGCTATTTGGGTTATCTTTAGAATGTTAAACTAAAGTCGGTTTCGAATTGTTTCTTTTCTCAAACAATCGAAATCCCACGGCTCTGCTTCTTCAAATTATCCCCCAATTAATGGCCAGCCATCATTTTTCAATATCTGCAGTCCGTAATCCATTTTCTTCCCTTTCATTTGCACAGTTTTTGCTGTGGGCGAGTCCTATTACACAATGTTGCTGGCGCGGGCCATTCAGGGCATAGGTAGTGCCTGCATTGGAGTGTGCGGCATGAGTCTGGTGGCGCAACATTATCCTGAGGAGGCGCGACGCTCCAAAGTCATGGGCATTATATTGGGAAGTATTGCACTTGGGGTGCTGATCGGATATCCATTCGGCGGAATACTGTACGATCTGGTTGGCAAATCGGCCCCCTTCATAATACTGTCAACAATAATATTTCTGAATCTGGGACTACAACTGCTGACGATGGACCTGTCCGTGCAGCCGGAGGTGGTTGTGGAGCAGCAGCCCAAATGGCGACCATTGCTGGAATGTAAAATGATATTGGCCATTGTGGTGGCCATCTGGTTCTCTACGTCGACCATGGCCATATTGGAGCCCTGTTTGCCCATCTGGCTGATACAGTATTTGAGGCCGACGAAATGGCAGCTGGGCACTGTTTTCATTCCGGACTCCCTGGGCTATTTTGTGGGCACCAACTTCTTCGGCAGCATTGCCTATCGCTATGGCCAGGTGAAAATTTCATGCATAAGTCTGCTGCTTGTGGGCATAGCGTCGATTTTGGTAAGATAGCTCTTTGTGAGTTTTGGAATTTCGTAATTATCATTACTATTACTTTTCCAGATACCGAGTGCTACGACTGTGGCTCAGTTATTATTGCCTCATTTTGTTCTCGGCCTTGGCATTGGGGTTATTGATGCTGCCCTAGTGCCATTGCTGGCTACCTTTGTGGACGCAACGCTGGCGCAGGAAGAGCACAGTGATAATGACAGCGGCGGCTCCATGTCCAGCTACGGCACGGTCTATGCCATCCAACAAACATCGGTCAGTCTGGCCTATTGTCTTGGTAAGTATTGGCGATATCTTGCTGCTACTCATTCGAAAAATGCTGCTTTCTGCTTCCTCAGCTCCGCTAATTGGTGGGGAGTTGGCTCAAACCTTTGGCTTTGCTTGGCTGATGCGAACTGTGGGTCTGTTTAATATGCTCTATGGCCCCATTCTGGTCTATCTATATCAGAAGTATGACCCAAAGGTAGCGGCTTTGTTAAAAATAAGCAACTTCAAAACGAAAGCTGACTAACCCACTTCTTATTCTCCCTCTATGTGCAGAGCCTGCGGGAACAGCAGAACGATCTGCTTTTGCAGAGCAGCGGGCGTGGCTCGCGTTACAAGCAACTTTACAACTCCATGGACATGGAGTAGGTTCGCTATGCTGGCATCGGCCCAATCTTTAGCTAATCCTAAGCAATATTCATGATAGTGTAATAAAAAAGTCTCTTTCTCTCTCTGTCTCTCTTTATTAATCAATAAAAGCAAGAGCTGCAATCGCAGCTGGCTCGTATCCGATTGAGTCCGGCTATGATTTAATTGTCATGTAGGCTGTCATGTTGATTCGTTGAGGATGTTCATTTTAGATTCGAAAACCGTTCGGCAAACACCTCGTCCAGAGATCAAAATTTTCAAATATTTTCTCTAGTATTGCAATAGAAAATACGACATGGCGGTTCGACCTTTTGGTAAGATTCTCACGCTGACCTGGACTACATAAAAACAATCTATGTATTTGTACCGTAGGGCCCGGTCCGGGTGCTTACCAGCTGCCAACCACGGTTGGTTTTGACAAGCATGATTCTCGTAAGCAACGAATGCCCCAGTATTCCTTTGGCGCACGAACGGGCCTGTCGGGTAGGAATCCTGGACCCGGAGCCGGTGCTTATCAGGTCGACAAGCTGACACGTTATGGCAAGGGTGGGGGTCTGGAATTCTCTATTGCGCCTAGGACCAACTTAATTGGTATGTTCAAGGCATGACCTATCGCTCTTGGTCTTCAAGTTTAAGCCCCTTTTTCCAGATAAGAGAGTTGGCCCTGGGCCAGGCGCTCACGATGTACATATAAAGCCATTCTTTACGGGCGTTAATGCTCCCGCTTACTCAATTGGTATGCGTACTGATTATGCCTTTAAGAAATACGGACCCGGCCCCAACGCGTATAAGTTTGAAGTAAATCCCGTCAAGCCGGCCGCACCATCGTATAGTATGTAAGTATCTGTGGTACTGGGATAGGGAATAGTGGATGTTTTTATCAAAAACAAAATGCCTTTCCTATGCAGTGGAATGCAAACCAAATTCATTAACAAGCAAATGTCTCCTGGTCCTGCGGCGTATGGTGCTGGCGATCTAAATACCAAATTGCATCGCGCGCCTGAATATTCGCTAGGACCACGCACAAACCTAATTAGCAAGAATGTCGGTCCCGGTCCCAACTACTACGATCTCATGTATTATCGTCCTGGCAAGACCGGACACTCGTATTCGTTTGGTACTCGACACTCGCCTTACGCGCCACCGATGATTGTTAAATGCGATAATATTTAAATATTTGCAATATTAGGGAAATATGTATTCAAAATTTTTTGTATTTAACCAAATTAAATTCATAGCTAAGAATTGTGTATGCAACACTTAACTGAAAATAATACAAGTTTTCTAGCCTCTAGAAATTAGGAATTCTCATTGGTTAACAGGTTAACAGCAAAATCTTCAAAGAGCTAATCTTTCTCGCGAAATATATATTGTATATTGCTTTTCAAAATCAACATTAATAAAAGCTCTGAAGCTGTTAAAAAAATTGTGAACAAACTCATTTCTCTACTATTTGAACTAAATAGGCGCTGTATTTAATTTCTGTTTGATATTCTATAGTTTTTTTATTTGCACTATTATACATTCATTCGTTTTAGAAGTGTGTACTTCACAAAAATTTTTGTGGATTCAACTTTTACAACAAATTTCTAAGAAATATTTTTAATTTGACGAGTGGTTTTTTTCCAAGCTGGTAAGTGTGAGAAATATTTGAATTGCAGTTTTTGTGTGCTGCGCATAAGTGGGACACATATTTAACTAACTTGTGTATTTTAAGAAATGTAATAACGCTTTTTGTGCATTTTCAAATACAATTTGTCAGTGCTACCAATCCGTCTCGATAAAATTTCAAACATTGCTCACTCGTTGGCGAGTTTTATCGAGATATCGATGGTATCGTTGGCGAGTTTCCCACATCTCTAACTCTAATAGCAGGCTTTTTGTTACTCGGTCTCTGTCATCAGTGCAGGGAGTTTTCATTTTGTTTTTTGTAGTTTTGGCTGTTTTATTTATAGTTTCTTTTTAAAAATAAGTTGGGCAAAATTTCTTGAAATTCGAAACGCAGTGTCAACGTCACCTATTATTTATTTAAATCGGAAAGAGTAAGTGCCAAGGGAGTCTGCACACAAAGTGTAACCAAGATATTGTGAAGTTGTCGTTAAAACTTAAGAACACAAAGTTTCGACACTGTTATGTGCGGCGCGGCAGTATTGGGAAACCACAAATGTCGTCGGACAAAAGGAGTGGCAACTCGCGCGATTGGCAGCTGGAGCGGGCCGATAACAAGTACTCGTGCGTGAGGGGTGAGGACCAGTGCTACCAATTAGGAGGGTTGCAAAGTGGGTAAAATAGCAATTCCGGGGGAATGGCAAGTCGTGGCCTTAGGGAAGAAGAAAAATCAATTGTGGACAGTGAGCGAGAGACACGTGCTATTGCGGGAAAAAACAAAAAAAGAGACAAAATAAGCGGAAGACAATATTCAAACACCGGAGTGACGACAGGAGGGTTGGGATATACACCAGCGAGGCTTCATAGGCAGAGGTAAGGGTCTAAAAAGGGGCCAGTGTGCCAGTGACTAATTTCTTACTATATGTAATAGGAGTAGCAGTAACTGCGGGCGTTCTGGGAAGTGCGCTGTGCGCGGGTCAGCACCGACCGGCAGTACTGGGTCTTAGGCCGGACCTCGGCCCTAGCGGAAGTCAGGCCAATTTCCATGCAACTGGAAGTCTGGGCTAAGTACCCTTCAACATTAAAATACTAAATATTCACACACATTCCGCTCAAACATAGAACCAAAATTGTATATACACCCTACATACATATACATAGCCATCTCACATACACCAGTGCAGCATATAACACAAAATTCAACTAAATACTCACACATATTCCGCTCAAACATAGAACACAAAATTTTATATACACCACACACTCCTTTATATACACTCCATACATGTTCACATACACCATATTCAAACACACACCGAATTTCCATAGCACTCAGACTCACATTCATCCCATAGCCACATAATGTAAAATACAAAACAAAAAAACAACACACAAAACAATTAACAATTTTCTGTTAGACACATAGCCCAAACCATTCACAACATAATATAAAACATTAAACAGAAACACAACACCCAAACATTTAACCATATTGTAATACACACACGCCCATAGCCACATAATGTAAAATACAAAACAAAAAAACAACACACAAAACAATTAACAATTTTCTGTTAGACACATAGCCCAAACCATTCACAACATAATATAAAACATTAAACAGAAACACAACACCAAACAAGTAACCATATTGTAAACAAAAATTCAAATGTATACTTAAGAAAAAAGAACATAAAAAAAAAAAAAAAAAAGAAAAGTAAAAGAAAATGTATAAAGTCTAATATAAGCAAAAGAGGTTGGAATGTGTATTGGAGCGGCGCAGTTTTTTTTTTTTTGTTTATCTCCTTGTCATTACATATCATTACACCCCTCATAACCACATACTCGAGTATAGGTAGGTTAGGAGGTTCGAAAATCGAATAAGATAAATAGGCACAAAGAGCCAACAAACTGCAGCGTCCCAAAACTCAATGGCCTAAATACCCGAATATATTTTTATTGTAATAAAATTTAAAATTTGAAAATGAGTCTGGAGTAGAATCCATTTATGGGGTGAGATGGGGTGACTAAAGTCCCGGAGCAGAAGGGAAACCAAAGCAAGCATGTTGAAGGGAGCCGGCAACAAAATGCCAAAACCGGCTCAAGGTAGGGAGGGCCACGCGGCTACATGACACCAAAGTAGCCACAACTCCACCCAAATTCCACAGGCGTCCCTCAGCCGACAATATGAGTAGGTGTGTTTGATAAAAAAATATAAATTCATTGTTGGTCTGCCGCACCCCTGTCGCGGTCGAATCTGACCCTGAGCCGATGGCTAGCCGGCGTAACGACAGGGGATGCACTGGCAAAGGCGGACATAACAAGATGGCGCCCAATATAAATACACCTGGGTCTACATTTTAGCAAATGTTGCCCCAGTTCGAAGCGAAGTTAAAAGCCAGAGTCTTGTTGTTTGTTTTTTTTGTTGATTTGTATTCTTTATTTAGTGTTTACATGTAAATTTCAACAGCAATAGCTGCTGGCGGCCCCTGAGCTGGCGGGAAACGGTGCAACTGCCAGGTCCGTGGGTGAGCTTCACTAGGGCTCAGCCCATCGTTGCCGCAGTTGCATCTTTCTTACAGCGCGGTGTAGGTTGGTAACCAGCAGAATAGGCGCAGCGAAGGAGCGAGTGTAGCAGGTCCGTGAGGAGTCTTGGTGCCCACTCATTGTTGCCCTACAGGGTGCTCTGAGGCTGGAAAGATAGAGAGTAATGTCTGTCAGGTGTTAAGTAAAGAATAGTATAGTTGCCTTATGTTTTTTTTGTGTTAGTTACCGTTTTTTTTTGTGGTTGTTTGGTAGTTCTTATGAATGGTTGCGTAGTAGGTCCATGTCCTGTCCCAAGCGGAAGGAGCATCGTTGCCCTACGTATCAGAGCATAGGAGCAGCAATTCGCCATAGCCCGAGCAAGATTTGAGTTTTTAGTAGGCGCCTGGAAGAAATTGGGTGGTGTAAAGCGTGCGATACATATGTGTTTGTTTTGGTTGTTTACCTTCTACAGTGACTGCGTGCCGTGGTGCAGCGTCATACTGAGGATCCTCATCTCACCCTTACATGTCTAGTGTTGAGCCTGTGAGAGTAAAGAAAGATTGTTTTGATTTATGCTATTGTCAGTTAGTGTATTAATTACCTTTTATTTATTTATTTGCGTAGCAGCAAATAAATTATCAATAGACGGGGAGTCCATTGTGAATGGTCCCGGTCAAGCACAGCTGTTCCTGGGCTGAACCATCGATATTAATAAGTATCGACAGGGTATTTTGGCACAGATTAGCAGGTCTGTGCATAGGGCGGGAATTTGAAGTTCAACTTATCGTTAGTTTGTTTTTTTTTGGAGTAATTTTTTTCACTTAGTATTTTTTTTGTTAAGTCTTTTGGTATACATTTATTTATTCTCATTTATTTATTCTCATTTATTTATTCTTATTTATTTATTCTTATTTATTTATTCTTATTTATTTATTCTTATTTATTTATTCTTTTTTTTGGTTGTGTGTTTGATGGTATTCCTATATATATATACATAAGCATTTGATTGGATTAAATAATCCAACGGGTACTTAGCTAAGGATATTATCCCCGCTTATCATTTAAGAAAACACATACATACGAGTGGACCGATCTATTTATTTATTCGGAGTTTGCTCGTTTATAATATAGATATAGTTTTTTTTGATATTATAATCGGCGGGTACGGATCCGAGTACTAGCAGTGGTTTTTTTTTGGTTTGGATTAACAAGGTACTGAGAAATGAATCTTGACCCGAATGTTACCCGGAAGGTCAGGCGGAGTCAGGAGTTTATTAGAAATAGGCCATTGGTTCACTTGGACTCTCCTCCTCACGTAGGATTGAGTGAGGCGGGCAAGCCAGCAGAAGCACTCCATGATGACGCATCGCCGCCGAGTGTAAACGAGGCAGCGTTCCGAGGATTCGGGGATGAATTTCCGAACAGTTCCGGAGCAACAACCGGCGCACGCGCGCGTGACTATGGCGGTGAAGAGCAGGGTGGCAGAGCCGAGTCTGCGCTGCCAAGCGAAATTCGGTCAGCGATCAACGTGGCATTAGCACAGGCCCACGAGACGTATCGCGCATCGTTGTCGTCAGAAGTAGAGGCCATTCGAGAGACGATGCAGGCCAGCATGCTGTCGTTCATGCGCGAGATTAATGAGGCAGTGGCAGCGCTGAGGCAGGAGAGAACGCATAGCGCGCCTCCGTCTGTAGCACAGGCGCCGGTGGGCAGGCCAGAGCGAGCTCACGCGCAAATGCAGCGGCCAGCCTTAGGCGGGTACGAGCCGGCAGAGAAAGAAAGAGATTTTGTAAGTAGTAGACCAGCAGCTGCAGCACCGACTCACCTGTTCGTCGACAACCGAACTTTAGAGGCAGAACAAGCGGGCATAGGAGCGGTTTTGTTCCAACTCGATGCAGACGGGGCCGAAAGGCCGATAGCTTTTTTTTCAGCGAAGCTTCGGGGCGCTCAGCTGAGCTATAGTGTCACCGAGAAGGAATGCCTGGCTGCAGTAAAAGCGGTCGAAAGATTCCGGCCGTACGTTGAATTGATGCCGTTTAAGGTGGTGACTGATCACGCCAGCCTGCGGTGGCTGATGTCATTGAAGGAGTTGGACGGTCGATTAGCGCGGTGGTCGTTGGCCCTGCAGAGGTTCGACTTTAATATTGAGCATCGGAAAGGCAAGGAAAATATTGTAGCCGATACCCTCTCACGGCCTTTCGAACTGGAGGAAGTTGATTTTTTTGATTTCGAGACAACCGAGTTCGAAGGTGCGGAGTATACCGAGCGGCTGAAGCAAGTGCGGGAGAACGCGGAGCTATTTCCGGATTTACGCGTGGAGGATGGGCTGTTGTATAAGCGGGCGCAGTTCACGCGGCCCGAGCGAGAGGAATTTTCCTGGAAGCTCTGGGTACCGCGTCCTGTGTCCGCAGCCCTTATACAGCAGGCCCATGAGAGCGACGCGGCTATGCATGGGGGCATGAAGAGGACCATAGAACGGCTCAGGCAGTTTTTTTTCTGGCCCGGGATGGTGGCACAGGTGAGGAGGTACGTTGCCGGCTGTGAAACGTGCAAAGCAACAAAGCACAGCACGCAATTAGCGAGGCCGGTAATGGGCGCCGAAACCGTATCGCTCCGACCAATGCAGAGGCTGCATCTGGATTTTCTAGGGCCGTATCCGAGGTCCAGGAGAGGGAATACCACCATTCTGGTTGTTCTTGACCATCTGTCCAAATTCGTGTGGTTGCGAGCGATGCCAAAAGCAACAGCGGCGGCAGTGGTCCGGTTTCTGCAGGAGGAGGTGTTTTCGGCATTTGGAGTCCCAGAAACCGTCCATACCGACAACGGTAAGCAATTTGTGGCCAACCAATTTACGGGGTTCCTGCAGGGGCTGAGCATCACCCACGTACGCACGGCGAACTATGCCCCACAGGCGAATGCGGCGGAACGCGTGAACCAGACAGTGTTAGCGGCCATCAGGACATATGTACAGGGCGACCACACGAAGTGGGACGAGAAGCTCTCGGACGTGCAGTGTGCAGCACGCAGTGCTATCCATGGCAGCATCGGCACGTCCCCGTATTTCGTTTTGTTTGGGCAGCACATGTTCACCAGCGGGAAGGATTACAAGCTGGCACGCAAGTTGGGGGCGCTGGAGGATGCGGAATTGCGCATGTTGCCCAGATCGGATCAGCAGAAGGCAGTGCGGGATGAGGTACAGCAGAGTGTCCACCTGGCATATGAAAAGGCGAAACGGCAATACGATAAGCGTGCGAGGATGGTAGCGTACGTACCTGGCCAGGAGATTTACAGGCGAAACTTTGTCCTCAGTCGTTTTAAGGACAACGTGAACGCGAAGCTGTGCCACAAGTATGTGAAATGCCGTGTCCGGAGCAGCGTGGGCAACAGCCTGTACGAGTTGGAGGACATGCACGGGCGTCGGTTGGGAGTCTTCCACGCCAAAGATTTAAAGCAATAGCTAAGGCCCGGCTTTGTTCGTCGGTAGACCGAGAGACCCATCTCAGGGTGTGGGCGGTGGCCTACGTTGGGCAGAGAAAGAACCGCGGCGCTTCTCACTCCCGTTTCTTCCGTTTGGCACCAAAATAAAACCGGAGTGTGGTGTTATGTGCGGCGCGGCAGTATTGGGAAACCACAAATGTCGTCGGACAAAAGGAGTGGCAACTCGCGCGATTGGCAGCTGGAGCGGGCCGATAACAAGTACTCGTGCGTGAGGGGTGAGGACCAGTGCTACCAATTAGGAGGGTTGCAAAGTGGGTAAAATAGCAATTCCGGGGGAATGGCAAGTCGTGGCCTTAGGGAAGAAGAAAAATCAATTGTGGACAGTGAGCGAGAGACACGTGCTATTGCGGGAAAAAACAAAAAAAGAGACAAAATAAGCGGAAGACAATATTCAAACACCGGAGTGACGACAGGAGGGTTGGGATATACACCAGCGAGGCTTCATAGGCAGAGGTAAGGGTCTAAAAAGGGGCCAGTGTGCCAGTGACTAATTTCTTACTATATGTAATAGGAGTAGCAGTAACTGCGGGCGTTCTGGGAAGTGCGCTGTGCGCGGGTCAGCACCGACCGGCAGTACTGGGTCTTAGGCCGGACCTCGGCCCTAGCGGAAGTCAGGCCAATTTCCATGCAACTGGAAGTCTGGGCTAAGTACCCTTCAACATTAAAATACTAAATATTCACACACATTCCGCTCAAACATAGAACCAAAATTGTATATACACCCTACATACATATACATAGCCATCTCACATACACCAGTGCAGCATATAACACAAAATTCAACTAAATACTCACACATATTCCGCTCAAACATAGAACACAAAATTTTATATACACCACACACTCCTTTATATACACTCCATACATGTTCACATACACCATATTCAAACACACACCGAATTTCCATAGCACTCAGACTCACATTCATCCCATAGCCACATAATGTAAAATACAAAACAAAAAAACAACACACAAAACAATTAACAATTTTCTGTTAGACACATAGCCCAAACCATTCACAACATAATATAAAACATTAAACAGAAACACAACACCCAAACATTTAACCATATTGTAATACACACACGCCCATAGCCACATAATGTAAAATACAAAACAAAAAAACAACACACAAAACAATTAACAATTTTCTGTTAGACACATAGCCCAAACCATTCACAACATAATATAAAACATTAAACAGAAACACAACACCAAACAAGTAACCATATTGTAAACAAAAATTCAAATGTATACTTAAGAAAAAAGAACATAAAAAAAAAAAAAAAAAAGAAAAGTAAAAGAAAATGTATAAGGTCTAATATAAGCAAAAGAGGTTGGAATGTGTATTGGAGCGGCGCAGTTTTTTTTTTTTTGTTTATCTCCTTGTCATTACATATCATTACACCCCTCATAACCACATACTCGAGTATAGGTAGGTTAGGAGGTTCGAAAATCGAATAAGATAAATAGGCACAAAGAGCCAACAAACTGCAGCGTCCCAAAACTCAATGGCCTAAATACCCGAATATATTTTTATTGTAATAAAATTTAAAATTTGAAAATGAGTCTGGAGTAGAATCCATTTATGGGGTGAGATGGGGTGACTAAAGTCCCGGAGCAGAAGGGAAACCAAAGCAAGCATGTTGAAGGGAGCCGGCAACAAAATGCCAAAACCGGCTCAAGGTAGGGAGGGCCACGCGGCTACATGACACCAAAGTAGCCACAACTCCACCCAAATTCCACAGGCGTCCCTCAGCCGACAATATGAGTAGGTGTGTTTGATAAAAAAATATAAATTCATTGTTGGTCTGCCGCACCCCTGTCGCGGTCGAATCTGACCCTGAGCCGATGGCTAGCCGGCGTAACGACAGGGGATGCACTGGCAAAGGCGGACATAACAACACTCAAATTGTTTATTTAGCAAGCCAGCATACAAACGCGCATACGTACGCACGCCTTACACGCAAATAATTCCTTTCTCATGTGCCCTGCAAATCAGTAAAAATTGGTAACATGTCAAGCCAAGTGGCGGGTGCTGTCAAAGCTGGCGGCACCCCTTTGAGCGCGGCTAACCCGAATGCCACGGGCGGCAGTAAAGATGACGACAATGGCGCAAGCAAAGACGCTGGCGCTGTCGTCACACAAGCTGATGCTGTGCCAACTGAACTAACAAATGGCGTCAGCGTCCATGCTTTTGTGCCGAATGCCACGTCGGGTGGAAGAAAAGCGGGCGGTGGTACAGCCTTGTCTAAGGCTCCGGCAGCCAATCATGAGACTCAGTTTTTCTTCGAGGACGAAGTGTTCCGCATCGACCGCAAGGGGCGTGTGCGTTTTGGCGTCATAACGGAGACTCCAGAATCGTATTCCTCGGACGAGGAGGATGACACGGACGATGTGTTGGGCAGGGGTGAGGTCCGTGTCGCCTTTTATCCGGATGGCAAGGAAATTGTGCAGACAGAACAATCGGTGCGTATAGAGAATGAGGTTATGTAATTCCCGCTTTAAATAACTGTTGTCAACTTCATTTTTTTCAATTGTTTGTTTTGTCTTTTTTGGTTTTGACAACTGTTTCTCGTTCTTTTGTTTCCCCGTTATTGCCATTGGTGTTGACACGTGTTGTTTGCATGGCCATGGCCAAAAATGTCGCATTTAAAAATGAAAACTCTGTTATAGATTGGCCTAGCGGATCGCACATTAATGCCTGGAGATGTGGTGCGCCGTCGCTTGCCTGGACAAAAGGATTTGACTGGACAGACTGGCTATGTGCGTGACGTGAGCGTGCGAGCAGATGTTAAGGTGTTGGGAACCAAATACATAATTAAGAACGTGCCGTCAGAGCGTCTGCGTCAGATTTCTGAGTGGGCTCGTGATGTGCCCGTATGTTTTGGCACTTGGATCGGCACCACCCTGTCTGTCGATGAGTCGGCCGTACTAAAGTGAGTATTAAACGCTTAGAGTTTTACATTTTTACCTTGAACTTTGCATTTGTTGTTCTGCTTGTTGCATTAGGTCAGCAAATGGCGCATGCCTGGAAATTACATCGAACGATTTTCACAAGTTCAAGGATGTCTATGGGCCAAGTGTTCGTGATGTTTTTAATCCAAATGTCTATTATCCTGGCAATATCGTTAAGGGGCGATTGCCTCCATTAGATCGCGTTAAAAATTTAACTCCTGAGATATCATTGCCACCTAATCGCAAATACCGCTCTGTTGTAAGTTGTAACTATAAATATACATATATGTGGGATGGTACCTGATTGCGTGTATATATATTTTGTGTCTTTGCAGTACACCGTTGAATCGGTGAAAACAACAGCTATTACTGTGGCTTGGACTTGCAAAGCCGTATCGCATTGTGATAAGGGAAATGATACGGATCCGCTGAAGCAGCCGAAGAGCTGCATCAAGGGCGACGATCTGGTGAACGTGAAGCGCTTAAATCTATACGAATCCTACATGTTGCAAATTCACGATCGATTCTACCTCAAATATTCGAAATGTGATAAACTAGACAAATTATCCAATTGGGAGGCGGAGCAAGGTAAAATGGGCCCTCACGTTAAATGTCTTTGTGTCCCATTCACGTATTTGTGTTTGCAGCTCTGGTGTACCTTGCAATCTTTCAACGTCAGCAAAGCGATCTATGCAAACAAAACGCAGCCAACGGCATAGATAATACGCCCTCAACAGCATCCGGATCACGAGTGTCGCGCCACGGGAACAAGGCCCGCAGATATGCCACCAAAAACAGTATGATGAGATTGCAGCGCTCGCAAGCATCATCCGAACATTTTAATATGAGTGCCACCACAACGGTATCCCCAACAAAGGTGCAAAGTAAACCTGAAGTCTCAAAAACGGATGATATCTGGGACTCGGTGGAAGAAGACGATGATGATGAGGAGACACAGGAGCCACAGGATGCGCCGGACGCAGTGACCGAAGTGGTTGATTCAATGGAGACCGAGCTAGCTGATCCCACCAATGAGGATTCAATCGAAGCAACCACGACCACAGCGTTAAGCAACGCTGCTCCATCGCAGGTGGCTCGCTTCGCTTCGCGCTATGCGAAGCGTCGTCATGTCAAAAAGAAAATGCGTATGAAGAAGCCACTTGCTTCGCCTTTCGCCAAAAAAGACGGTGATCCCAAAGATGGTGATGAACTGGTCGTTGAAACACTAGTCGTATATAGTACCGTGACAGTGGTATGGCAAGATGGCACCGTAGAACCAAACGTACCGTCCACTGAGCTCTATCCCATACACCATTTGGACAATCATGAGTTCTTTCCTGGTGATTTTGTTAGCAAGTCTAACGATTGTGGTCCCTCGCATACAGACTACGGCGTGATTCAGTCCGTTGACCACGACGAACGTATTGCCAAAGTGAAATGGTTTAACATTTATGCTAACATGGATAACCCTATGTAAGTTTGAAAAAAGAGCGTTCGATTTTAAATCGAACCACCTGACAATTGTTGACATATTCCACAGCTTATTGACTTATTCCAAATTGCTATAAACACTGATATGCAAATTAATTTACAGACCATCTTGCAAGGAAGTTGAAGAGCTTAGTGTCTATGATATAAAGGATCACACGGACTATCAATATCGGCCTGGAACTATGGTTATACGTGTTTCAAACTTCACGGGAGAAGACCTCAATTCCACGGCCGGCCAAGTGATAGACAACTTTCCCGATGGGCGTGTGCGCGTTTGGTGGGCGAAAGGCCACATTACCATGTGTTATCCGCAAGATCTGTTTGAAATAAATCACAGCGATCAGGACCAGGAACCCTATGAGTCAGATTGCTCGGATGATTCGTGGGAGACGCAATCAGATGGCAGTGGTTTAAATATTAGCCTCAACTCGCTGGACAGCGAGGAACACATCATTTCGGGTATAGACTCGGCCCAAAAGGCTTTGAAGCGTCTAGAAAAATTATTCCGCGTATCACCGGAACAAAAGAAAACCACAGTACTAAACGATTTGGTTTCTATTTATAAGAACTGTCGTTTTTTGGACCGTTTGCTAGGTACCAAGTTCTTTCATGAGGATAACTTCCAGGGAATAGTGCGCCGAAAAGTGTTAAGCAAGACCTGCTCCCATCCAACCAAAGAAGATGAAACAATGGATCTTAAGCCGTCAGTCAATCTTGCGGCCAATACCAATGTCACATTGCCCGAGACAACAGAAACCGATGCAACAAAGCCCGAGCCAACAGCCCAGTCCACACCCAATAAGGACAAGTCTTTCCAAGGTATGGGACAGTTCGAACCAATGCAATGCGACGGAGCTGTAATGCGACGCGAAGATGAATCCGCGGAATTTTCGGATGAAAGTGATAAGCTTATTCTTGAAAATGTAGAGCTCTCAGCAAGCGAAACGAAGTTAACTCACAAACAGCTCATTTCCAAATACCGCCTCGAATATGCAACCATGTTGAACACGGCTCGCACGAGTATTGCCAAGGCTTTCGAGAAAGGCAAGCAATGCAAGGTAACTAAAGGTCACTTTGTAAATATAATCAAATGTTATATCATGGATTGATTTTTCAGAATGATTCCGGTGTTAGTTCGCGAGGTGAAAATACCTCGAACGACTTCTCCTTTGTCAAAGAACCAAAGCAGAAATCTGAGACACTTCATGCTACCTCTGATACGAGCATCGAGTTGATCGTTAGACAAGACACAAGTGTGTGTGAAATATTTTGCTTCCTGCTTAACGAGCATTTGGACAAATGTCGCGAACAGATCGAGAAAAACTTTGCCAAGTCGAAGGAAAAAGACATTGATGATGAAGATGCAGTTCCTAGCGATGAAAAATCAGCCATGAGTAACAAGTCCGAAGAAGATCTCGCAGTTCCTATCTCCAATAAGGAGAAAAATGATGAGGGTGACGATGATGCACTTGAGGACGCAATTAACTTGAACGGACATTGTGAATCGTTGCCATCGCTGGACAGTCCTGTTGCCTGCTCATCGCCTTCGCAAATCTTAGACTTTACGCCTATTAGTGAAAATTGCTTTGTGGTACAACCAGGTGCTCCACCTAATCACCACTTCTACGCCAACATCATACACCCAATGAATCGGTCGCAATATCAGCGTGCCATTCAGCGTGAGTATCGGATGTTGCAGGCTTCGTTGCCACAAGGTGTGTTTGTGCGCGCCTACGAAAATCGGATGGATTTGATGTCTGTCATGATGGTTGGCCCTAAACGTACGCCATATCAGAATGCGCTCTTCTTCTTTGATTTCCAAATGGGTCGCGAATATCCGAAAAGTCCGCCCACATGCCATTATATAAGCTATTGCACCGAACGTCTCAATCCAAATCTATATGAGGAGGGCAAGGTGTGTGTATCGCTCCTAGGCACCTGGGCCGGGCGTGATTACGAGGTCTGGTCGCCTGACAGTACAATGTTGCAGGTGTTGGTCTCCATACAGGGTCTAATACTTGTCGATGAACCCTACTACAATGAAGCTGGCTATGAAAAGCAACGGGGTGCGTAGCACTAACAACATGGCTACAAATTACAATTTAATTTACTATTATTGCTTTACCATACAGGTACTCAGCTGGGCTGTGAAAACTCTCGTGTCTATAACGAAATGGCTATTATAAAAATTGCACACTCCACAGTAAAGCAATTACAGAATCCTCCCCAAATATTTCGCAAAGAGGTACTTGACCATTTCAGGGAGTTTGGCGACGAGCTGCATGGTCGTATGCAGGGCTGGTCGGACTTTTCGCTGGAGGCGCAACGTCTAAAAGTGGCCACCATTGATGGTGCGTATCTAATTATGTTATAAATTCAAGCCTCGCCTACACAAATCTATCTTTTGTAGATATGCCTAAGGAGTACAAAGAACGCTGTGATCTGCCCGAATTTCCCTTGTTGCCCTGCAGTCGTGGCTTCTGTGTGGCTGTGAAGGGCGTATTGACCACAATGAAAAACGAGCTAAATGTCTTAAAAAATGAGAAGCCAATGGCGGCCGCACCGCGTGCCGCGCCCGAAGACGTTTAATATGGATGAATGGATGGTTGCCGATTATAACATTCAAATGATCCCAGGCATATACCACCACTTTCTGCTTTGTACAATATCTTTGCCTTCAACTCGGTGCCTACCACACACAAGACTGCGCACCCTGTCCAGAAAATAGTTGGACCCGACAATGGGCAAAAGCTTTTACTTTAAGCTTTATTTTATAATGCCATATACATACTCTCGAATATTCTCGAATATCTGCAGTTAAACACATGGCTAATAGGCCTTTTATTTAGAATTTTAATCAAAAATTATTTTGAAATGCTTATTATTTTCAATCTTAATTAAAGGAATCTCCAAATTGCCTCTGTGTGCTTTGTCTAGCGTAAAGTTGAGTTTGAAATGTAAGCGTGAGAAATAATAAGCCGAAGCCAAACACTAAGCATTGTTTTGTTTAAGTTCTTTGATATTTAAACAGTCGTCCCAGTTTATGTTGGAAAAGCTAACTCCTGCCTTCATTATGTATTTATGTAACTTATTAGTCTAGATATAAACGATATTATAGAGATATACATTCCAGTAGTTTTTAGCCTAAGCACCTAGCAAAAAGCAGCATTATCTCTAATGTTATCACATATTTATGTAAGACTATGTGATTCAAAAATAATTGCTATACAAATAGCTTCGAAAACATCGCTTCGATTTCAATATTAGAAATAATACGTTTAGAGTAACGAAACTTAAGTAACAATTTGTTCCAAAGAATGGGATACCAATCCCAAATAGATAGCGGGCTTCAAGAGGCGTTTCGAATTTGAAATCGATATGTTGGTTTCGAAGACTAGTACAAGTACGAGTATTGTAAAATTTTGTTATTAAACGGCACCGAAAACTGCTATAAAAACGATTAGATAAAAGTATTTGTGAATAAATAAGCAACTTTATTTGTGCAAAATTACTTCAGCTTGTTATCATCCATCAATCACGGTTGTAGCTTTTCACGTATCCAATCAATATAGGCGCCCACGCGTGTATACACACCCGGCCAACCCTTTAGACCGCAGGGTATTGGACCTGGCGTAAAATGTTATGAATAAGCATATTATCAAACAAAATACAAGTATGCTTAATCTATGGTCACACAGGCAAATAATTTGCACAGAAACAGATGTTACATTCAAAGTAAATCTTAAAATGTATTGCTAAAGTAGAAAGTACACTGTAGAGTATTGCTATTGCTTCTTATTGTATGATTATCAATGTTGTGTACAAATTATTTGACCGTCTGACCTGCATCAATGAATTGGTCATTTATTCAGATCCTTAATACTTACCGTACGATGTAATGCCAGCTGCGAAGTAAATAACCTGCTTGTTCACAAGATTACTTAACATAAGTGGACCACCACTGTCGCCGCCACAGGTATCTTCGTTTTCCTTGCCGCCGGCGCACATTTGCATCTCTTCAGACAACCGAACCCTGTATATATCATATTTGTCCTGGCAACGCGTTATGTTCCACACATCGACAGTTAGCTTCAGTTTGACTTCGCTCGACGTGGCGTTCTGCGTACTGCCCCAGCCGGCCACATCCATGCCGTAGCCCACGAAGCTATTGGCGCGCACCTCGGACGAGATGGGTAGACAAATGGGCTTCACATATTCCGTATAAGCCACCGACTCCTTGAGACGAAGCAGAGCAATGTCGTGCAGCTGATGAATGGAGGCCTTATCATACATCTCATGCAGAATACGTCGCTCCACCTCCACATCGATGTGCAGTGGAGCACAGGTACGCTTCCCATTCAGCTCGTCAACGCAATCTGGTGCCGTACTCGTATCCCACTCACCCAAACGGACGCTATGGAGCAACCAAGTATCGGGTAACTTAAGACTCGACAGACAGTGGCCAGCGGTCAGGACATAGCGCGTATTAATCAAAGCACCGCCACAGCCAAAACTAAACTGGTTGGAGGCTGTGGTACCAAAGAAATATGTTATTTATTGATACTTTTTCGAAATGAAATTATAGCTTTGTTATATTATTCTCAGTTTTCAATAAGGATGTTGATTTCTGACCAACTAAACTATTTGATGACACTTTTGGGAGAAAGGTGGAGAAAGATGCTCTATTCATAGTTGCAATAAAATAAATTTTTAATAATTTTGAGCATATTTCTTGAAATCACTTAATGAATGTTTAATATTTTATAAATTGTTTTCTAAACCACAGAAAACAATATTTTTATACCCTGTACTCAAAGGGTGCAAGGGTATATTAGTTTTGTGCGAGTGCACATGGAACACACAGAAGGAGGCTTGGTAGACCCCACAAAGTATATATATTCTTGATCAGCATGACAAGCCGAGTCGATATAGCCATGTCCGTCTGTCTGTCTGTATGAACGCAAGGATCTCCGAAAGTATAAGAGCTAGAATAACCAAACTTGGTATACAGATTCTCCTGAGACCGAGAAAGGACGAGTTTGTTCATTTTTTCTGATCCACCCCCCCCCCCCACTCCCCACCTATTAACGATAACTCCCGTAATTCTTGAAATTTTGAACTAAAATTTGGTAGTCACATTAGGTTAGGTATTATATAACCGTATACCAAGTCTCATTATGATAGAATGATCGGAAAGAAAGTTATAGCCATATAACCAGGCCCAATGCACACATACATACATATGTACAAGTACACAAACACGCATAAGGCACGATTCTGATGTAAATGTATGTATGCATGCATGGAATATTTTATATTTAATTTAGTTAATTAATTAAATTAATTTAGTTAATTAATTAAATTAATTAATTAATTTAATTACTTTTTTGTGGGTGGGTACAGGGTATTTAAGAGTTGAGCCTGCTCGACTTTAGCATTCCTTTCTTGTTTTTTAAAAAGAAGTCGCATGTCTGCTCAGACAGACGAAGAATTATGAAACATGATTGTACGATATGTGAAAAGAAATCTATAAGATCAATGATGCGTACTCCTTGTCCTTTTAATGGTATAATTTAAGTACATATAATCTTCCAAACTAAGTATATTAATGAAAGGATTCACTTACGTTTTTTGTAACGTATCAGCACCATCCAGGGAAACTCATCGAGTTTGGTCCTTGTGCCCCCGATGATGTAATTGCTAAAGAATGTTCCACAGGTGCCCATTTGGGGCAGAACATCCCCGAGCTCTTCCCCATTCCGCGAATCGAAACTGGGTGTTTTCTTGGACCGACTATTGGGACAACAGACGAGAATGCGTTCCACTACACCACCCACACGGGTATTGTCCAATCCACATTGACTCTCCATGAGCAATTTACGTTCGCTATCCGTTGTCTCTGTCTTGTTCAATATCTCGTACAGATATAGACAGTCCTGAATATGTATGCATAGGCCTGGTTCCTTGCTCGGCGCCGTGCAGGCCCCGAAATCGGACAACGCAGCTGCAGCGGTGTCTGAACGCAACAAAATTATAATAAGGTATGCGGTATCGTTTGTATTTCTCTCACTAGATTGCGAAATTGCTTAATTAAATATATATATAGTAACCGGTACTACCGGTTCTCATTTGACGAGTCCGGCCCACCAACATGTCGCCGCATCTGTGCTTGCCGGCTGCTCGGACAATATTTTCTGATAAGTGTTTTGTTTGTGCTTTACACCTTGCCTCCGTATGTAAATTGGGAAATGCGGAGTATTTTTAAAAAAAATATACAAGGTTCAGTTTATTAAAAGGTACGCAGCACTCAAAAAGAGATGAGTTCCCTAAAAAGTATATATGTATGGATATGTATTAGAATGGAGCTATCTTGGTAAGTAAAAGAGCTAGGGCTATCAAATCTGGAATGTTAATCTGAAAATTTAGGGCCTCTAGTGAGGGAATTTTTCTTCAACTATTGGTATTGAAATTAAATTCGTAAAATATCAAATATGTAAGCAGTAAACAAAATGTTGAGGGCTGATAAGTGCAGACTATACAAAATTCGGTAAAACTTCTGAACTGTTTTTACAACTGAGCTCATATTTTGACAAAATAATGGGTAGGTATGAATGGGCATTGCAATTTGTGTGGGAATGATACTTTTTTATTTAAAAACTAATTTTAGGAAAACATATGGTTTTAATAACACTTGCAATCTCGGTATACGTATTCGTATGTAGTCGCAGATGTTGACCGGATTCGTCTTGATATTGAAACTGATTAAAATGAATGGCGCTTTCAGATTGTTTAATGCTGAAATCTGGTTTCGGCGTTTGTTTATATTGTATTTGGTTTGTAACACATAATTGGGGGTCGCTAACCAATTTTAAAATTTCAACGCCTTCTGCTTACCCGCTCTTGCCAAACTAGCGATAGCGCTAATCAATAGCAAAAATAGAAAAAACGTCATTTTTTTTATATCGATCTGCTTATCTTGAAAGCGAGATTTGTGGTCCAAAATAGGGAATGTTAAAGAGTTGCGCGGCAAGATTTCGAATCGCAAACAAACCGTGTAGAGCGAGCTTCAGACAGAGACTAAAGTCTTGCCGACTTGGACCAGTCGGTTTAAGCTTTACTAATTACTTGCGGCTGCTAATAGGTTGTTGTTGCTGCTGCGGTCATTAATGCTGCTTTGTAGCGTTGACTGCGCTGTTATCAATATCGCCGGCAAGTACGTTGGGAGGTGTTTGGTGTCAAAAGGTGATTGCTGATCGATTGCGCTCTGCGGTTTTGCCACTGTCCGCTCATTGCACTTTGTTTGATGAAAGGCAAATACATATGTATGACATTGTTAAATGTGCTTTTCCGGGAAAACTTCATATTTACAATAATTAGCATATTTAGGTAGCCATCTCGATGATAAAACAATAAAATTTCAAGTTTCGCTGTCTGTGCTTTACTATAAATATGCTGTTAGTTAAATAGCTTGTATACAAATGCTTACAATTAATGCTTGCAGCAAACAAATTGCCATTTAGCATTGCTCAACCGGTTATTAAATGTATATAATTGTGGTTACTATTCCTGGCTGCGACGACACAGAACACTTGAAACTTTGAACTTGTGCTGGGATGCTTGGGCCTAAATCTTATTGCCGTTGTTGGCATAATTGTAGACTTGCTGGAAACCTTCGCCATCATCACCCTCGCCATCATCAGAATCATCCGAATCGAACGTATTATCAGGTATATCGTACAAGCGAATAATTGGCTTGTTCGGGTCCTTCATTATCAAATATTTGCCATCCTTCTGCTTCATAACAATGTCAATGATGCAACGCAAAATACCCCAGGCGTTGTCCATACTCAAGTTGATTTGTGTGGCAAACTCGTGCGGTTTAAATTGCTGGGTGCCCAGGATTACGTGACGCGAATGGTCGCGTGGGTTGATACGTGAGACATAGCCCAATTTTAGCTGATCGGAGCCCGCGAGTACAGCCTGCACCGTCCACTTGGCCAGTTTGCAGGCATTGTTTCGCAATTCATTGGCCAAAACCGCGCCGCGTTGCGTGTCTAGCTTCTGACGCCATTCCACACCATTGGCCAGCTTCGAGTCCCATTCGTTAAGCGCCTTAATGGATAGGAATTGTGGCTCTCCACTGGGCGTCTGCAGAACACCGTCGTGTTCACAACGCGCAACCAAAACCTGCACAAATTCAGATGAAATAAATGATAAAGATAGAGAACGACTAATTAACTGCACTCACAATATCGCTGCCCAGATCCCATTTCTTGTAGCGATAGCCAACGCTGGCAACTTGAATGTCCTCGTCCTCGCTAATAAACGGATTGGTCTCTTCAAACTTGTACTTCGCTTCCTGATCGCCCGTTTTTAGCACCTGCTGGCTAAAGTTGTGATTGATGAAGGTGGCCTCAATAGCCAGATTTCTGGGCGAATTGCATGAACTATCATCGTCGGTTGGAGGCTCCACAGATGTTTCGTTGACGGTCAGTAAATCAAATTCAGTATGATCGCGCTTGTCCATGAAGATTTTGTCACCTGCAAGATACACATTAGCTTAGATGGAATGTTTTTTACAGATAAAATGCCGTCTACCTACCGACTTTCTCGATAACAATATCCCAAGAGTAATTGGAGCGTGTTGAGCACATAATGGTGGCCAAAATAGCATCCGTAGCAAATACATTTCCCACCGTCTTGGACAATCTACGTATGACCGGATCATCAGTGGTGGTAACAGTGTGAACAATTCGGTCAATTTTCTGCAGCGGTTTCTCATTCTTTACATTGATGCGGTCGTACGTCTTGTCGTAGTATTCCAACGTGCCGCAAGTGGTAATATCCTCACCCTCCTTAATATTGGGCAGCGACAGCTTGATGAGACGCGGAAAGTCCATCTCCTCAATTGAAAGCCAGTCAGCGCGCACGGCCACCGAAGATTCGCGTATCTTGGGCGGAGCACCACGAGAGCCGAATTTCTTGCCAACACCACGACGCGGATCTCGTGCCTTGACATTCTTGCCGCTGAGCGTTGTCATGCCGTGCGAGTTCATACCACCGCGAGCATTGCGGCCACGTCCTGAGCGTGAATTCCTCATATTGCGGAAGCGTCCGCGTTGGTGCGGCGGCTTTTGGACACGGGCGGTATCCACCAGATGGAAAGTAGTCTCGTCCTCCTCATGGTAGTAGGCGTACTGGTTGCCAGTGCCAAAAGTGGAGGCATACTTGTCTGTAAGCAGTAATCATTGTTTAAGTAATGAGCATGTTAAGGCTGCTGGCTGCTACTGCCACGACACACACAAACAAAGCACACATGTACCTAACCTCACTTCGCGAGTCTTTGCATATGCCATGGCTTTTGAAATTCTACTCACTCTGATACTTCTTGTCATTGTTGGAAGTGCTTGTCCAGTCACAGATCTTGCCTAGGCGATCGCTTTTGCTAAACGGCTGGTATGGTACATCCTTAAACGTGTCCGGCAGCTCGCATGGTCCCCAGCCCTGCTCGTTGAATTGTACGGTCGGTTTCTCGAAGGTCGGAAACTGCGCCGCGGTGTTTATAGTCTCGCTCATCTCACGTTTTACACTCGTTTCCTTTATTTAATTAACAATTTTTTTAATTATGCCAAGTAATATTCCAGTGCAAAAAAAAGATTGTGTGACGAGTCGCAAAACTAGGTGCGAAGGAGAGAGCAAAAGGTAGCGCGTTATAGGGCTGACAAAGCAAGAGCTGTGATGACGATAGTCTTGGTTGTATCGATGACGGTTTGGTATTTATCAACACTGAGCATCGATGTCGCAAATGCTCGTTAGGTGGCGCCTTTTCAAATTGCTGATAAGTTAAATTTGCTAATATTTATTCTTATACATACTTGTATGAATAATTTTATTTGCAACCTTTTAACAGTTTTAAATGTATTGCTACTGACAATTCTTCAGAATTTTGTTAAATTTAGCTTGATATTTAGAACAAAAGGTACTATCGAAGTGGTCGTTTAGATTCTCCTGATCATCGAAATCCAAGTGCTGCAAGTTGGTCAATTGTTGTTATTTTTGTATTTAACTTGTTATTTTTTAACTTACATTGTCCACAGCTATAGCCGGCACACCTTGGTGTGGCACCTTATCCGTTTCCTTGCCGTATTTGCTCAGAATCTCATCCACGGTGCGCTCCTTTTTGCAAAGCTTCACATCCCCTATGTTTATTTGATAACGATTGGCGCATATTTCCAATTTATTTTTGCGACTCCGCATCATGCAACTTATTAGTTTTAATGCAGTCTCAATATCGTGATGTTCCAATATGCAGGCGTGCCAGGCGTTCAACTCACATTCATTTGTGCCATGTTGACAAGTGATTTTGCCATGTTTGTCAGCCTGTAAATCATTCAGAATTAACAATTTTCACCAAAACCCAGTAAGGGAATGTGAAATACACACCCTAGCGTTGCCGTAGGGCACCAGGGTCAGCTGAGTGTAGGGCAGGCGATCCTTCATCGAGGGATACAACTGTTGGGTCATAAATTGCATGCAGTAGGGACAGAGCGCCTCATAATAGAGCGTGATGGGCAGTCTGTCGGTGGCGGGGTCGCGATGACGCTGCAAAAATGCTCTCGTAAAAATATTGATGATTGTTGTTAATTACGTCTTACCCTCGCATAGATCCAGGTTACATTAATACCCAATAAAATGGCTACAGGGAGCAATATGCCTCCAAAAAACTTCATTACGGTTGAATTACGTTCTTGGTTTCGTTGCTTCTGTCACTTACGGCCGTCGGCTTAGCACTGAAATTAATTCAAAATTTGTGCACGGTGCTGTTTCCGATTGTTGAACTCATTGATGATTGTCAACATGTCCGTAAGCCAGTGGCGTACGTTGAATCGGAAGATATGAAGGGGATCCATTTAATAATGAGTTTTAACGGCACAATTTTTAAACACACATTATTGAATTTTAGCTATCAATTGAATTAGTCATATGTAATCTAATTTATATCTCTAACATAGATATGCATTTCAGTTGGAAATTCTGATTCACTTTATAGTAGTGCACTAGTTCCTTTTCTGAGGAACGAATTAATCGTTCTTTTTGTGGCTTTAGTTCGTTTAATCGTCATTTGATTTTTTTTCATTCCTGTGTCTCTAAAAAGACCATTTTTCCAAGTTTTACTGTTTAAAAAAATTTTGTTAGACTTTAGACCACTTTTTTTTTTCTTTCTAAATCCTTTTCATTAATAAATTAATAGATTTAGCGAATTTTGTCGGCCACTTGAACTTAACTGTTTGGTTCTAGCTATGCTTTTACTACAAATAATAATCATAACAGCTACAACCTACGATATCTTTATTGGTTGTCCGGGAGTTACTAAATGTTAAACACTTTAAATCATAATAAAAACTCAGTTAAGTATACACCATTTGAGATGTCATTTATATTTTAAGCAATTTATTTATGTTTGTCCAAGCCTTCTACTGTTCGTTTAAAACAAAAGACTAAATTAAATGATAATTGAACATATACGATATAGTATTTTTAAATGTATTATGGTTTCGATTTTATTTTCAAGTAAAAAAGTAATCGATTTTGGATTAAAGGTTTGTGGTTTCTTTACATTCCAGGTCCTGGTAACAGTTTCACTTTAGTCCTTAAGCCTAACTGTAGGGTTTCATTGTGGTTTCATTGTTGGTTAACTTTTAAAAAATTCATATTTACATTAGGAAATGTAAAATAACAAAAATATAGCTACACAGTTTACACAGATGCTTAACAATTGGGAAGTTTTTTATTGAATTTGGCAAAATATTTAGCACAGAATACCCTATCGAAGTGGTCTGATAGCAAGTTCTGCTCCGTGATATTGTAGTGCTGAGAAAGTAAAGAGATTGCCGTTTTCAATTATAATTAAGTCAAGATAAGTAGATTAATTTTTCTTCTCAAATCTATACTCATATAATATTCCACTTACATTATCAACAGCTATGGCTGGCACACCGTTGTGGGGAACCGTTTCTTCTCCATATTTTTTGAGTATTTCATCAACAGTCCGGGTCCGAATGCAATTGTTAACATCATCTACATTGAGGTTATAACGGGAGGAGCATTGGGGTAGCAGATTAGTCCAATTGTGCATCATGCATTCGATTAGTAATAGAGCCCTTTTAATATCAAAATGCTCCAAAATGCAGGCATGGACGGCATTAAGTTCACACTCCTTGGGTCCGTGCTGACAGATTATTCGACCATTTGCCATTTTCTGCAAATTTTGATCTCTTTTAATACCCATTTATTAAAATAAATGCAATTATCTATTGTACCTGTGCATTGCCATACGGCACCAATGTGAGCTCCGTGAAGGGCAAGTGCTTTCTCATCGAAGGATACAACTGTTCGGTTACAAATTCCATGCAATCGGGACACAGTGTCTCATAGTAAAGAGTTATGGACAGTCTTTCAGGTGCGGTCTTACGAATATGCTGGAAAAATGTTGCTGCATTATGATATTTTAAATATTTGTTTCTGTCTTACCCTGGCGCTGGTCCCAGTAGGGCGCAATACCAATAAAAATGCTCCTAAGAGCAACACGCAGAAAAAGGCCTTCATCTTCCTTCAACTGATTTGTAAATACTAAACAACTATTGATAGAAAATTACTACTGGCACTGAACTTACCTTCTACTTGCTTTATATATGTTTTGGATATACCGATGAGTAACGCATTACCGATTAGTTGTTCATTACTATAGAAGGCAGTGGAGTAGTTTGAAAAATGAGCAAGGCTCCAATCATTTTGTTCCGATGATGGAAATTAATTGTTAATTGTTCATAGAGATTTGCTTCAAAGTGATTTTTTGACAGATCTTTTAAGAAGGCCTACTCTATTATTCCATTTCCCATAAACAAATTGACGCAATTTCGATAAGTTTTCGTTTTGAGAATCAATGTGTTGGGATGTACAAATATTTATCGAATCGAAGGAATCTTTCAAATGTTCTGTTATTTAATTTGGATTCAAAAGTTAGAGTTTAGAAAACAAGGAGTACAGTGTAAAACTTGGCTAAATAAAACCATTTTAGATAAATCTTTGAATGGTGATCTAAGACAGGGTGAATTCAAACCACAATAATAATCTCAAGACATAGCAAATGGGATTATAAACAACATTTGGAAAAAGCACCCCTTTATTCGAACCTCCGGCTCATAATCAATTTTAATATTAAATAAATTTAAAAGGGCTCAATCCCTTTTATATATCAAACATAAAATAGATGAAAAAATGATCGTTTTTCACAAATCTTCAACTTCATTTCCTTATCTGTAATAAAAGATGTCTGAAAAACGTCCACTGACCAGAGATTACAATCAGAAGTTGAAATATTTTTAAAAATGTTGTTAACGATAATAAATGATTATTTTTACCTGCCCTCAACTTGCTTGCTTTAGTTGTATTTTCGCTTTCCAAAAAAACATCCTTTCATTACCTAGATATTACAATTAGCTTGAAGAAGTATGGATCTGCAATTGCGTGTATAGTACAACATTTAAAGTTTGTTTGAATAATCGAACTTAATCTTTCATCATCTTTCTTTCTTCATCCGTTAATGCGATTCACAAACAAACATTCCCCTAATAACCGAAGATTTTAGTGAAATGGAAAAAGATTATTTACAATGAATAAAGATATAAAATGATTTTCGACTTCATCTGTATTTTCGCTTTACAAAAGATGACTGGAAATCATCCAACATCAATCAAAAAAGTGAATCAGCTTAAAGTGTTTAAAAAAAATATCAATCTACATTATATAAAAATAAGCAAATAATTATCTATTTATATTTTTCTAGTTGTGAATGAATTACTTCGAATGATATTGCGAAATTTTGAGCTCAGATGATTGCTGAATTCTCAAAATACATAGCTGCTTTAGAGCCCCATTCAACTGTATCATCTGATTTTAATCATTCATAAGTTTGTTATTTCGATTAAAAAGAAAGTATTTATAAAAAATATCAATCTACATTATATAAAAAAATGAAAATAATTATATATTTCTATTTTTCTAGTTGCGAATGAATTTCATCGAATGATGTTGGATTTTTTGAGCTCGGATGATCGCTGAATTCTCTAAATACTACATAGCTGCTATAGAGCCCCACTCATCCACATCATCCCTTCCAAAACACCCACCCCTGATCTGATTTTAATCATTCATAAGTTTGCCATTTCGCTGACGCAGTCAGACGCCAGACCTCGTACCCATCTGAAAACAAAGCAAAAACAAAATAAAGCCCATACGTGTGTACGGTAACAAAAATCTCTACCCGTATTTGCTTTTGTTCGGTTTTAGAGTGCCTTAATCACATCAGCTGGACTGTTGAGATGACTTTCAATGCTTTCATTATATGGCAGTTTTCTTATCGTTGTTGTTGTAGTTGTAGTTGCGTTTGTGTGGAAAATGAGACCGATAAGAAAGTCAAATTTACAGTTCGCATAGCTTGCAGGCAATGAATGACTAAAGCGAAAAGCAAACAAAAAAAAAAGAACCGTAAAACTCATCATCTGCTTATTTAAATACACATAATATTTATTGCATTTTTTCTGTGCATTCAATAATAATAAAAATAAATTAAAATTGATAAACAAACTCCTTTGTCTAAGCACAATTTGGTAGTTTGGCGTTAAACTTGGCCTCGTACTTGCGACACAAAGAAGTGTCGAAATTATATCGTATATAGTTCTGTTCGTAGGGCTCGAATTCCTGCAATGCACAAAATTATATTATATAGTGGGAGATTATCACAAAACAGTGGTAGCTCTAATTACGGAAAAATTCGAATTTCTATCGCTCTGTTGTTGGGAAGAGTGCAAACCATATAATAATAGTAATATAAAAACTTCCTTGAGTTGTCAAAAATTTAATTTTCTACTATCAAACGAGTTTTGATTTGTCAATTATTATTTTCAAAAATTGTCTGGAAATGTCTACTTTCGAGCGTCCACTGTACCTCCATGCAATCTACTTACATTATCGAAGACAATGCTGGGCACAAAGGACAACTGCAGTGGCAGAGTTTGCTGACCATATGGCATCAAAATTTCGGCATTACTTCGAGCTGCCTTGCATTGCTTGGCTGCTCCCGTATCCAGTTGCAAACGTGCGGCACATTCATTAATCCGGTTACTATATGAGCGTAACATGCAATGGATAAGCCTAAACGAATTCTTGACCGTGTGCGTCTCGATAATGCAGGCGTGCACGGCATTAAGTTCGCATTCCGGCTCCCCATGTTGACAGAAGACTTGCAGCACGCCCAGCTCCGTATTATTGTAAAGCTATTTGGGTGGAAAACGTGATTTATTTAGCAACCTATTTTGGTATTTTGGATTACGAAGGCATTAAATAAGCGAATGGGCCTTAAAACAAACGAACAACAAAATTTATACTATACTAGACAATTTAAAGTGAAGGTATGTACTTGTTTTAAAACCTACTTTGGAAAATATAAAATAATTGCTTCAATTCGTAAGTAAATCAAATTTTTTGAAACAAAACGTTAGCTATCAATATTCAGAGTCTGCCGGATCCGTTCTGAAGACTCCAGCTACTTATCATGGCTGGAAATAACCAGTGGCTTACAAATTAGGCTAACATTATACACAAAATAATAATAGGTTTTTAGGTTGTTTAAATGCTTATACTATATATATATATTAAAATAGTGGTTGAAGGTTTTAAAGTATTTAGACATATAAAAAAGTTCAATCTAGAAATGAGCTTTTAGCATCATTCATTTTATTGGAAATCCACAGATTGCTCTTAGGGCAAGTAATGTTTCTGAGGGGCTTGATAATGACTAGCTTTATGTTAAAGATAAGAAGAATGTCAAAACTATAATTTATTCAAACTAAACTTTTTTGAGCGAAACACAAATGAGTTTAATTCGGTAGTAGCCTAATACTAACAAGTTGTGTGTCATTATTTTGTCAGCAAGTGGGGTTTTTTTTTTTAAATTGTTGATAGTTATGGCATTTAGGAAATTTGCTAATTCATACTCACGCCCGCCTTGCCGAAGGGCAGCAATTTGAGGTCCACATAGGGCCACCAATTGTTCTCCTCCAGCGCATAATATAATTGGCGGCGTATGAAGTACTTGCTGTCGGGACAGAGGGCCTCATAGTGTATGGCAATCGGTAGCTTCGGAACTGCTGCTGCTGCTGCTGTTGTTGTTGCATCATATGCATCTGGCAGTTGTTCAGTTGCCGCCTCTGATCCATAATTTATGCTCATCAGAGTAAGCAGCGCAATCGTGAGGCCCAACATATAGTTCATGCTCGAATTTTTAAGCATACTCGCAAATCAGCACATCCAGAACTTAGCAGCTTCACAAACAGAACACAACTGCTATGGGAAATGCGATGAGCATTGCTTGAACGCCCCATATGCTGGGGTCTTGATTGTTTTTGTTTTCGCTGCTGGAACTGTCTCTGTCTCTGCCTCAGTCTCTGCTGTCCACTCAACATCAACTGTTCAAACATAGCGTGGCAATCCGAGTGTTATCTATCGTGTGTACATTGCGTGTACCGCTCGAAAGCTATTTGTTTAATCTCTGCTTGATGCTAGTGGGAGGCCTCATAGAGCTTTCTGAGCTTGGCGCAGTATAGTACAGAAGAGTATAGTTTGGATTAACATTGAAACAAAACATGAGTGATATGCTAATGAGGATACGTCAGACAACGGACAACAGAAGCACGTGACAACTAAGTACAATTACTGGGTTTATGCCGTCACGAAAGCTGGAAATCATTTCTTGAATTGGACATGGTTTACACAGAGCTAATGAAAACAAAATATTATATCATATTATACAATATCATAGGAAAGTTTGTGACAAGAAAGTTGATTTTATTCGAATGGGAATACGCTGGAAACATTTGGAAACATGATATTAGAATAGAGTATTTATTATAGCATAAATTTCTGAGCGTGGCGCAGTATTGTGCAGACGAGTATGTACTATATAAGAATATAGTTTGGATAAACGTTGAAACAAAACATGAGTGATATGCTACTGAGGATACGTCAGGCAACGGACAACAGAAGCACGTGACAACTACAATTACTGGGTTTATGCCGTCACGAAAGCAGGAAATCATTTCTTGAATTCGACACAGAGCTAATGAAAACCAAATATTACATTATATTATACAATATCATAGGAAAGTTTGTGACAAGAAAGTTGATTTTATTCGAATGGGAATACGCTGGAAACATTTGGAAATATGATAGAATATAGCTTGGATTAACATTGAAACAAAACATGAGTGATATGCTAATGAGGATACGTCCGAAAGCGGACACCAGAAGCACGTGACAACTACAATTACTGGGTTCATGCCGTCACGAAAGCAGGAAATCATTTCTTGAATTTGACACAGAGCTAATGAAAACCAAATATTACATTATATTATACAATATCATAGGAAAGTTTGTGACAACAAAGTTGATTTTATTCGAATGGGAATACGCTGGAAACATGATATTAGAATAGAGTATTTATTATAGCATAAAATTCTGAGTGTGGCGCAGTATTGTGCAGACGAGTATGTAGTATATAAGAATATAGTTTGGATTAACATTGAAACAAAACATGAGTGATATGCTAATGAGGATACGTCAGAAAACGGAAAACAGAAGCACGTGACAACTAAGTACAATTACTGGGTTTATGCCGTCACGAAAGCTGGAAATCATTTCTTGAATTGGACATGGTTTACACAGAGCTCATGAAAACAAAATATTATATCATTTAATATACATATATATTATACAATACCATAGGAAAGTTTGTGACAACAAAGTTGATTTTATTTGAATTGGGATACGCTGGAAACATGATATTATATATAACATATATAATAGAGTATTTATTATACCATAAATTTTCAAAAAAGTATAACATTTACAGACATTTACATATAATTAATAGGAAATCAAAAAACACAAAAAACATAAACGTTAATCACTCAATATCGGAATATAAAAATAATTAACTGTAAAATAAAAAAAAAACGTGCTGAAGTAGGCTGCAGTGTGGGCAAGTTTGGATGCTAATTCCTATAATTTGTCACATTTAAATACAGATAATGGACTAGGTGTTGTAGGCTAGTCCAAAAGTGGGCAAAACAAGCAACATAATTAATGCAATGTTTAACATACCTGTTTAAGTGTAACAAGTTCAGTGCACCACGACGTCGCACAGTGGGACAATCTGAACCGTTTCAAAAGCCCAAATATTTAACATAAGTTATGTATGAAATATAAATCTTGATACTGTTTGTGGGGATAAATTTTCATTAAAAATACTAAAGAAGAATCTTATATTCATACTTTGAATTGTTGAGTTTCAAACTCCTATTTAAATGAAAATATATAGAAATAAAAGCTTTACCTTTTCATCATAAAATTTTAAAAATAATCTGAGAATTGTAGAAGAATTGAGTATTGAATATTCTTTAGGTGCTTCCTGTTCATGCAGCGAGCAGTTTAAGAATTTAGTTGAATAATATTTTAATAATAATTTAATTGTATGTCAGGTATTTTTAATATTGTTTCTTTTTAATAATAATAATAATAATTTGAAATTATTTTCTAATTTCTTGCTATCATAATACTATATTTTGAAAAATTAAAGAAATTTCTTGTAAATTATGCAAATTTCATTACTTCTAGGTTATATTATATTCTATATATATTAATGTTATACTTAGAAAACATACTATACATATATATACATGAAATATTTAGAAAAGGTGTTTTAAAGATCTTGCGATTAACAAGAAAGGAACTGCGATCCTCTAGCCAAAGCTCCTTTTTCTCAATTTTCCTTATTTTAAGCAATCGAGGTTGTTTCCTGACTCTTGAAATTGGCGGAAATCGGAGGCAAGCAAATGAAACAAAACCAGGGATGGATGAAGCCCCATATCCTAAAATAATGGTGTGCAGGCGTTTGCCATTTGGTACTGTTTTCAGATCATATCCTAAAATTCCAAATAAGTTTAGAAATCAAAATAACCATCAAACATTTTCTGATGCATTTCTAAATTTCCAAATAGGTTTAGAAATCAAAATAACTATCAAACATATTCTGATGCATTGTAATCACCATTACACAAGTAGTATTATTTCCTTCTGATTTTTGAACCAATTTTGTTTTAACGAGCCACTGTGCGTCATCGCTAATTGACAACTCAATTTTTAGTTTGTTCGTGGTTCAACCGGCTTTAAACGGTTTATCAGCTTCTGTTGCAAACTAGTTTGGACATGACACATAACTGTCGCACTTGTGTGTGTCGCTGCTCTGCCCACAATGGCATTGACCAGGCCAAGTAACAAGCAACTAAGCAGCTAGCAAGTGACACGTGCAGGCCGCAGCGTCATTGTTGGTTGGGGGACGATTTCAATTTCTGGCTAATTCGAGGCTTTAATTGCCTGGAAATAGTTTAGATTGTTCAAATGTTCGGTTATGGCCACGTCCGTTTTTCATGGTCAAGGTTTTGTGCGCAAGAATGCCGTTTAGCTGTCTCTTTATGGCCTGCTAGGCAGCTGCCCGGCTAATTGTGTTGCAGTTGCTGTTGCAGCAGCAACAATCTAGTTGCAGCAACAATCGACACGACAAAAGCGACAGTGTTTTATGGCTAGCTGGCGCAGATTTCCGCACATGCTATTATGAGTGTATGTTGCTATTAATTGGCCGAAAAAAAAAACCAAAACCAAACTAAACACATCAAAATGGAAACGTGTTGCTGTTAACCCAAATTTGTTGCGGGTCTCTGGCGCTGCCTCTGCCACTGCCACACGACTCCTGCAATTTCACGAGCCGTTTCTGTGCCTTTTTGGTTTGCTTTTTGTTTTAAAGCTGTGCCAGTTTTCGTTGGCGTTGCCTTTTCTAGAGTTTCTAATTTGCATTTAAGCTCTTATCGTGCTCATTTTTGTTTTGCTTCTTCTTCTTCTTGTTGTTGCTGTTACAGTCTCTGCGGCTGCGCAGATTTGGTTGTGGTTTTTGTTTTGTTGTTGTTTTTTGTCTTGGGTTATTTACTGTTGCTGTTCTCATTGCAAAATTTACACCGCCAGCAACATTTCCAAGCACTTATTGTTGTTTGTTGCTGCTGCTGTTGTTGTTGTTGATCTTGTTTCGTGCCCGAAAAACGTGCTAGACTTTAACCCACGAAATGATAGTGTAACTGCGAATTATCGTCGCAGCTTCAAAGAAGGCAAGGCAATTGGCCGAAGGCTGTACAATTAGGTTTACGCAAATTCTTGGGAAAAGATGATGCAATTATCTTTTAAAGACTTCTTTCTGTTCTTCATCCGATATCTGAATTCGAATTGATTCATATATTAGTATATCGCAACTCTGCATACGTTCATCAATTATATATATATATATCTGTATGTATCTAAAGATGAAAAAGCTTTGACAATTGTTGATGTAAATTTTGATGGCTCAGACTATTCCATTCGGTTAAATTTCTATTATAGAGTCCATAATGCGGCTACCATCTTTTTTCTTTGTCATCTCAAAAAGCAGTACTTTGTTTTCCGATTGTAAGGCGACTTTTATAAGCTACCAGAAAATGCAGAACACATCCAGATTTAAGCTCATTAGCCCATACCACAAACTCTTTTTCTCATTTCTCATTTTTCATACCTATTTGATCCAACCTTCTGAAACTTATGTCTATTTCAAAGTCGAGAAATGGGTAAATTTATATTTCTAAATTTTATATTTCTGAAAGAAAGAAAAACTCATCTTAATCGCCTTAATCTGTAAAATTGTTCACATATTTCAGGACATGAAACATTCTATTCGATCTCATTTGTGATGTCTTTCTTAGGTAGGTAACCTGAAAAAATGCACCCTTCTGGACGGAAGCGCTCCTTTAGTTGCGTCTAGGACTTCAGACATATTTAGCTACATTTCTGGTTTAGTTTCAGGAGGATTCGAATTTGTCAATGTGACTCCTTATAGTTATAAATCATTCTTTGCTCTTAAGTATGTACATATTTTTTAATCTGAAAGCAGGATAGCTCATATATTGGAAAAGGCTCAATATTCTAAACATTCTTTGAAAGTCGACGAAAAATTTGCACAGTTTGCTCACATTGTGTTGCTGATTTCGCCACTACAAGTATATGGACTGGCGTTCATGGTGATTTAATACGATTGGATCATCATATTTCATTAATATCGATAAGCTTTATCGGCAACGTTATATGGATCATATGTTTTTAGAGGAAGTAATGGAATGGAATAATGGGGTGACTATACAGAAGAG